GTATAATGCTGTAATGCATTTCTCTCTTATGTTGTTTAGGACGAAATTAACACAAGGCGAAAATAAAGTAATGAGAGCCAAACCAGACCTATGGCGAATGTTTCCCCATGTATACAGAGCAGCCTACCTGACTTCTGGCTTCTAAACGGAATGTTGGGAGTATTTACAATAGTCTTCTCTAATTCTAAACAAGTTTGGATTGTGCTATCTCTTTCTGTACTTACATATCCCAAAATTTCAAACTGTTTCCTACTATTACAAATGATCAGATAATCAGATTTGCTACATAAATTCTGACAAAATCTCCATTATCAATGAAAGTTATTTTCCATTTTTTCTTAATTCTAGACCATGACACTTGTGGTATCATCTGAGAAATGATATCACCAGCGAGGCAACATAATAACCAATTCATGATAAATACACATATAATAATCTCATTGACTGTAATGAGTCAAACATATTCTTTATAAATCACTGATGCGCGAAAATCTTTAAGAGATGGTTACAACAAAGAAAATAAGATAAAAAGAATGAATGAAGGTGCATGAAAGTGAAGTCCTTTGTGACTTCAAATTTCCAAGACTATTAGAAATCGGCCGTGAAATATTGTCATTCTATGTTTGTTGTGGTGTGTGTTTACTTAATCTATAGAAAGCATGTAACATTATTGACTTTAACAAGGTAATCAATCCCTCCCTACGTAGCAGGTACAATGTGGTCCCCAAAAGTCACACACACAAAAAAAAAACATAATTCAACAATAGTCTTAAAGAAGGAAATAATTTTAACATGCAAAGATATCTTGAAATCTTATTTCAAAATCGAGACATTCATAAATGAGTTTCTAAATATATATATATATCAATTAATACAACCAATTGTTTTGATATACAATAATACAACCAATCATTTGCACTGGTACATCTGTCTACAGACACAACCAATCATAGCTCGACAGGTTAAACAGCCTCTCATCACAACTATCCACAAATAGATCAATAAAGCTCACTAAAACAGGATCAAATATAAAACGAATTATATGAATCATAAAAACACTATCAATGAAGCATAACAAAATTGTGCAAATATAACACAACATGTAAGTCTGCATCAAATCATATACGGTACGTACATACTGAATTCTACTGTATAATGGTAGACAAACATCTGTGCCCTCATCAGAGAAAAACTCTTGTCACCATCAGTTCACAGGCACAACTATCTCATAGTACACGTATATACCACAGCAGCACTTGTAACATGTTATTTTTATTTATAAATATAAGTTTCAATGACCAAATCATAAACCAAAATGAAATAACATATTGAACACAAGTCTACCTCTATTAATACTAGTAATTTAATAGAAAATTCTTTTATTGCAGCACTCCTGTCTGACAAACAATTCAAGGGTTAGCAAGATAGCACTTCGCCAGAGATATTAAAATCGGTTGATGCTACTAACGTTAAAACAAGTCCATTTGAAACACAACTGTAAACATTATTAAATGATATCCAACCTGTTGTATTCCAGGTTTAACATGACAACCTGACACACTCCAGGTATGAAACCACACTCATACCTGTCAAGCTAGAGTTTAGTCTGATAAAGTTTGAGTTTAAATTTGTTTCATATCAACTTTAGATGGATTCAATCACATGGAATCCTGGAACTGATACACTATAGAAAATCTAGAGAAAACAAACAGGTAAACAGATGGTATTAAGATGTCCATAAGGCAATGGCTCATCGGAAATGACCTTGGAGAAAATCTCTCTGAGGAGGCCAGGTGGACAGAATGAAACTATATCTTAAACAAATACATATTGAGTAAGATAAGACTTGGCTCCAGGGTTCACATACGCTCCTAAATTAAGAAACTTGTATAAAGTTTGTCCATAATTCTGTCTTTTGTTTTGATTCTGCAGTAACATTTTCAGCTTCAGAAATATCCCTGAAGATAAGGAATAGAAATATCTATTTCATTAATGTTGGCATCAAGTGTGTGAAGCAATTGAAGTAGTTGGTTTACTGGTTTGTAAGAAATTAAAAGCTTATATTAAGAGTATGTTTGTTGTTGGGTTGTTTTCAAGTTTTTAGGGTTCACCAACGCACCACCACAATGCCAAAATGTTTCTTGCTTTTAAAACTATTTAAGGACAGCAGAGCAACTCTGGACTAGATCGGTAAAGACGTTTTATATCCCTGTTAAGCACACAGCTTTTTTAATGGCCGCAACCAATAACCAGTAAATAAAACAACAACAAAGATTTATATCTGAGAGAAAAAATATGTGAAGCTTGGATTTCAGTGAGGGCTAGACTTACCAGTGCCATTAGAAAACTTCAGTAAACAAGTTATGATAACATTTCTTAAGTTATTTTGTCATTTGAAAATTGCAAGAACGTACAGATTTTTTTTACTTAAGTGATAATCAACACATCGGTGTCATTAGGAAACAGGAAAAGAATTGATAATAATTACCACTATATATCAACCCATATCTTCTCTCTGCTGGAAGATTTTTTATTTTATTCAATGATCATATGAAATAATTACATAAAGGGTTGGTTACTAGTATTTAGCTTTCTAGTGCTGGATTCAATTCTATAGTTCTGTTTTAGATCAGGGACGTCCCTAGTTCCAACTGGCAGAATATCTAAAATTCCCTCACAGTTATTGGAATGCATGTTTGTAATATGAATAGCTAAAACATCCATCACAGTATAAGTCTGTACAATGTTCTATTTTACAGAAATATCAACACACAAGGAACAAGTGTGACCATCCAATCCTATCCATGTGGATTTGAAAAGAGCCCTGCCATGTCATCAATATCCAAATAAATGAAACTGTGAAGTAAAGACTACCAAGAGGACAACACAAATATTACTTATACCAAGCTGGAACACAACTTCAAGTGAACTTCCCAGGATCATTTTGTGTTGAGGAGAGGTGTATGGGTTATAAATACATGAAGATTATCTGACCCAAGTTGTGCAGGGGCTGGTTAAGGATGAAAATTTGGAAACAAATGAAATAAAATTGGGCACACTCTTCCTTATTTCATACGTATAAGTTTGTTGAAACAAGTCAGATTGATATATTTCGAATGTTGTATTTGCCTTCAACGTTGATATTTTTCAGCGACAACAATTCAATTTTTCACTAACCACTAGTTAACTCCAACTAAGCTTGGAGGTACAAGAACCTGTTGATTGGAATATTCCATATCTACAAGGACACCTGCCATCTTCAAGGTTCCGCTCCTAATATGTACATTTTTCTTCACTCTCCACAAAGTGTGTTATTACAACGTTTACTGACTAAAACATTGACCATTCGACTGATGGCTGTTCTCTCTAGATTAAAAGCTCTGTCAATTGCTGATAAACTTTCTTCTGTTGTATGTTTGAGGTCACACACTATACATCACCAGTTATAGTGTTTTCAGAGCCGTCCACTTTGCCATCACATATTCTAAAGGTGTGAAGAACATATAATGAGAAGGTAAACGTTTGACTTTGAAGACAAATATCCGAAAATTATAAGACATTCACATATAGTTTTATGATAAAAACAATTGCAGTTTACAAAAACAGCCACTGATGAACCTCTAGATATCTGCCACAGAGATATCAGGCAGTTGCCATAACAACCAGGTGTTGATTCCACCAACTCCCTTCTGTTGATTACAGTAAGAATAATGTAGTTCCATCATCACAAGAAATCTTGATTCTTTCTCCCAGCACTATATACAATGACATTTCTGGTTTACCAGCTAGCAAACACATGTTTCTCTCTCATTTTCAGACGAAATCAAACGTTTCTCTCCTCTAGAGATTTGTACCATACTGAATTTCTATCTTATTAAGTGATCTACTTCATGTTTCCTTGTACATTTAAAAACAATATAGCAACATATAGTTTTGATCAAGTTGAATACATCACAGAGTTACAACATCAGATGACCTCTTATCAACATACACAGTGGTCAATAATTGGGACAAATTCAGAGAAATCTTCAATTATGAAAGACATACTTTTTATAGAACAAATTGGCCTCAAGAGAATCTACTTCTGCAAAGTTTTTTTTTCATCAATGGTTCAAATGTTCACGTTCACGTTTCACCAAAAGGACGTTTTTGTTGACTATAAAATGGACCTTAACTTGCTTTATCAATTTCATTTCCAAGGTGTTATCTCCTTACCTGTTATAGTGGTATTGTGCCAAATGCAGTTGTATTAAATAGTGATTTATAACAGTAAATGGATATGCGAATTCATCAATGCGCTTTTTTACCAAAAGTGATGAAACATTCAAATTTCATCGCGCAATATTCAGTAGTTTTAAGTATCTATTTTTTTGCTATTTTATCCCATCCTCAGTGAAAAATAAAACTCTCAAAAATAACAACTTTAACAGTAATTTCATACTCACTTCATAACTTTGTATTCCTCTTTAAAATTTGAAATCTATTGTTACAAACTATATCTAGATGTGATTTATTTGATGTAATTATTACAGCAGCTTAAAGGAGGAACAAAGGCTTGATGTAACATAAATGAATACTAGTGATAATAGACAAAATATGTTGAAAACAAGCATTTTTCTCAGTCAATATTCCCAAACATCATATACAAACTAGCGGTACATCTGTTTGTCCTCATTAACAGACATTGTGATCCAGAATTGCTTGTAAGATGGCACATTTCTTCATTAGCTGATATATTCAAAATATCAGACATCTTGTCATGACATCATAATGTTGTACGGATTTTCTAACAAGATCTTTTTGTTCTAGTTATCCTTCTTATACTAGCTGATAAAATATATATGACAAATTGGAAAATCTTGTTACCAGCTAAACATGAAAGAATTTGTTCTGCTTTACATTTCTGGATATACTCGGTAGTTGTAGATTGTGGTTAGAAATCCTTGTCATTGGGTGGTAGGTTTGCTTTGGTGACAAGCATTACCCTAGTTATCGTTGATCTTCAGAAAATCACTTTAAAAAAAAATGATGTTCACTGAAAAATAGGTTTTCAAAGGTGATTATTTTTTCTTAGCATGACTGGATGAGGTTCCTTTGAGATAGGAAGGGGAACTCCCACCAGGGGAGGTCACTCCTGGAGAGAAAGATATATTTGAGTTTGAGCCACTTAGTTTAGCTCCCATGGAATGCCGCTTTGCCATCTTACGTGATCCTCGCCTTTTTTTGTCCAAGACAACCTTATCATGACGAACAAAAACACCATGACGTGGCCGACACTTGAAATAGCGAATGCCATGTACAGAACCATCATTTTTTCCTGGAATGGTGAAAAGAACTAAATTGAATTATAAGAATTATCCTGCTTTAAATAGAAATTTACTGAATTGTCAAATATCAAGGTCAATGGGTTCAAGAGACCACTTAAGTTTTTCTTTGTTTCAAAAGAAATACATATTTAATGAACCACATAAAATAAACTTCTACAAATAAACATACCTGATTATCATTTAAAACTGCTTACTCAAAACAATAAATCTAAGACTGAGAATTGGAAGAAACTTGACAGAAATTATTTCTAAATATGATTTATTCTAGTTTGAATAAATGTTTGCTAATATATATTATTCATTATTCTGAGAGATGTGCTTACCCTCAGGGAGGTCCAGTTCCACGCCGACCCAAGGACCTCCAGCAAACTCCACATTCCCTACAAATTGCACAAATCCGGTTTTTGATGGGCCTTTAGATGAATTGACAATGACACTTTCACCAATCTGTATCCACGATGGGACAGGAACTTCCTGTAACCTGTCAAGGTCAGCTCGACTTCCAAATGAACACACGCTTAAAGCATCTTCTCCAGCTGTGGACATCAAAGTGTTACTAACATTAACTTTTGTTAAATATCACGTTTTCTTCTCCTCATCCCTGAGAGACAAGCATATTCTGGTGAAACTAAAACACATATGTTATACACACATAGGTTGGCAATGTTGGGTTGAAAGGAAAAATCTGATTATGAGGATCACATGGAATATATATCATCCTACTCAAGCTAGAAATATTTTTCAACATGGACGACTCCAAGCAGAGATCTGTATCATTAATGGAGAAATGTCTTTACATATTAATGGTAGAGAAATTTCGATACATAACAAGAGATCCCAGAGGGATCTTGGCGCCCACCATTTGAGGATCTGTTTTCAGTTCTTGAAGATTTGTTTATTTTTTTTGTTTGTTACAGGTGTTGTAAATGTTCATGAACTGGTCTTCATTGAATGTACTCAATGATGGCACAAGATATTTTTATTAAGCACCTATTAGCAAATATCATTTGAAAAAGATCCCAAAGTATTATTAGATAGCAGTCAGTTACAGGTGGATAATGGACAATATGCTTGTGCTGTATTACTGTTGACATCCAAGATGGCTGCCTGTGGGCCACCTTGATTTCAAATCAGTCCCAAAAAGGTACAATGCACAACTAGGGACCAAGGGAAACCAATATCTATGAAATATCAGAAGGATCCATCCAGTACTTCCTCAGATATAGCAGTAACAAGATTTTACTCTCAAAATCCAAGATGGCCACCTGTCGGCCATCTTGATTTCGGATCAGTCCAAAAAGGTATGATGCACAACTTGGAACCAAAGAGAACCTGCATATGAAATTTGAGAAAGATCCATCCAGTACATTCCAAGAAATAGCGGTAACAAACTTTTACATCAAAAATCCAAGATGGCTACCTGTTGGCCATCTTGAATTCGAATCAGTCCAAAAAAGGTACAATGCACAACTAGGAACCAAGGGGAACCTGCATATGAAATTTGAGAAAGATCCGTCCAGTACTTTTCCAGAAATAGCGGTAACAAACTTTTACTTCCAAAATCCAAGATGGCCGCCTGTCGGCCATCTTGAATGCAAATCAGTTCAAAAAAGGTACAATGCACAACTAGGAACCAAGGGGAACCTGCATATGAAATTTGAGAAAGATCCATCCAGTACTTTTCCAGAAATAGCGGTAACAAGAATTGTTTACGGATGGACGGATGGACAGACGGACCACGGACGGCAGGGCGATTTGAATACCCCACCATCTAATGATGGTGGGCTAAAAATCATCCGAGGTATTCTAATATTATGATTTGTATAAAGTTTTATCAAAATCCCAATGTCAATTAATTAGTTGATTTTCTATAAATAGTAATGTTGGTAATAACCTTGACCTTGGATCCCTAAAACAAGAAATAATGGCAGCTTTGTGTAAAGTTGGATAAAAATTCTAACTGAAATGAGTCACTCAAGTCATGACATAGATATGGGACAGTACTGAGCAGATACGATTAACACTACATATTAATTCCCAGAACAATTTAAATAGGATAACTATGTTGATTGTGGGAATCTAGTGACATTCTAGTGTCAGTATACAATATCTAAAGTATCAGTTTGTGGGACAACCAATCTAGTGACATTCTAGTGTCAGTATACAATATCTAAAGTATCAGTTTGTGGGACAACCAATCTAGTGATATTCTAGTGTCAGTATACAATATCTAAAGTATCAGTTTGTGGGACAACCAATCTAGTGACATTCTAGTGTCAGTATACAATATCTAAAGTATCAGTTTGAAATACAGGAAGCAACTGCGAACTATATTTGATCTGAAGTACCTGAAAAAAATGGTTATAGTTTCTTAACAGACCTGATGTTTCCAAATCGTCAGTAGTATCCAGAACAAGGCTGTTTCTCTTCATGCTCTCCTCTATCATACTCGCAGTAGAATCTGCATGTGAAGATGGTGACACGATACAAGATGAGGGTCGGGCACGTTTAGATGGGTTTAAATCACGCCTTCGTATAGGAGTACTGGCCAAGACCCTATTTCTGTCTTGTTCAGAGTCACCTTCTTCTCGAATAAACAGTTCCACCGTATCCTTCTTTGACTCCTCTGTTGGGAGATCCGTGAAGTCATTGCTCTCCTCTGCCTCATCAAACCCAAGTTTTTCTAGTTCCTCCATTGCAGTCTCACTATAAGGATCCACCCATTCTTTAGTGTTACCTCCCTTGCTCTTATCATGTGAATATGTATCTCCCTTGCTTTCATCCAGTGATGTGCCTGTTGTATCAAAGTCTGGAAGCTTGGGGCGCCTCACAGATGCTACACTTATATCAGAGTCACTCATATCTTTACCACTTAGACTCTCGTCCATACTGGAATGTGTCTCCTTGATCACAGTGCTCTGTTCCTTCACATCCTCTTCTGACTGATAAACAGTCTCTGAGACTTTATCTTGTGTCGAGTCTGATGGTCCTTCCTCTAAATCGCTGTCACCACTACTATTAGCATGCTCTGCATTGCCTTTTGGAACCCCTCTAGATTCTTTGTTTGATTCTGTGTTATCCTCATTGCTCCGTAGACTAAGAGAATCCTCAGAGGAAAGAGTAAGCATGGATACAGCCTGAGAGCCATACCCACTGGACACCAGGCTTGGTGTACAGTTCTTACCCTGGATGTCTACAAGACTGTCTGTTGTAGAGGAGTGGACAATGTGTCCATCCTCATTAGAATTCACAACCTTTTTATCCTCCTGAAGTAAACCTTGTTGGGTCTCATACGACTCGAAGTCCTGGAACTCATCAGATCCAATACTATGTGGATCAGGCTCCACTTGTCTGATGTGATGCTTGTGATCTGGTTCTTCCTCATCGAGGTCCTTCAAAAGTGAAAACAAAAACATTTATTGCTAAGCATTACTTTCTTTTGTGTACTTTATGAGGCAAAATATTCATCCTGGGTTATTTTTACTCTCACGAAAAAACAAAAAAGTTTACCCATATACAATGCAGTATGTTTAAGTTTTTCATTTGTTTATTTTTTTGAGTGCAGTCTTGTTTTATCAATAGAAGCAGTTTGGTTAATCATTTATACTTGTAGTAATCCTTTAAAGAACCTCAAACTACTTATTTCTATTTTCAGTTCTCCTTTGGGAAGCCTCAACATAACTTTTTTATTTTCAGTGCTCCTGTGGGAAGCCTCTAGTTAATTATTTATAATTTTCAGTGCTCCTGTGGGAAGCCTCTAGTTAATTATTTTCAATTTTCAGTGCTCCTGTGGGAAGCCTCTATTTAATTATTTTTAATTTTCAGTGCTCCTCTGGGAAGCCTCTCGTTAATTATTTTTAATTTTCAGTGCTGCTGTGGGAAGCCAATTTCCTGTTAACTATTTTCAATTTTCAGTGCTCCTGTGAAAACCTCTTTCTAGTTAATTATTTTTAATTTTCAGTGCTCCTGTGGGAAGCCTCTAGTTAATTATTTTTAATTTTCAGTGCTCCTGTGGGAAGCCTCTTTCTAGTTAATTATTTTTAATTTTCAGTGCTCCTGTGGGAAGCCTCTAGTTAATTATTTTTAATTTTCAGTGCTCCTGTGGGAAGCCTCTAGTTAATTATTTTTAATTTTCAGTGCTCCTGTGGGAAGCCTCTAGTTAATAATTTTTAATTTTCAGTGCTCCTGTGGGAAGCCTCTTTCTAGTTAATTATTTTCAATTTTCAGTGCTCCTGTGGGAAGCCTCTTGTTAACTATTTCATTTGCAATAACCCTTGTAGGGAGTCTTACCTCCTCCGTGTCCTGTCTAAGAAGTGGCTTCGTCTCTCTCTGGTACTGTTCCTCTATAAGAGTCATCATGGGTTTCACTGTTGCAACTTTTGTTCCGAGAGGGCTCAATAGGGACTTAGGAGTAGCTGCACAAGAATATAATCAGTAATAAAAAATTACTTCAATTTCCTGTATTATAAATCTGATTTCTATTTCTAAGTGAAATGACAATAAATGTATTTATTTTGTAAGGAAAGTTGAGGAAGCTTACTGTGATTTGATATATACAAGTAAAAATAGAATGTTACATTAGAACAATGAAACTGGGTCCAAGTCAATCTTATATCAAACACGCAGAATAGTGATAACCAGGGCCAAGTTTATATGTTACAAACTACGACTCCTTTGTTATAGGAAGTCACATCAAAATGTCAACACATTCTAATACAGTTTTATTATCTACAATACACTGCACTAGATTTTACTATGTGTACTATCATCTCTAGTATTACACAGAACTACAGTTAGGTCCTAGTACACTACCACATAGGCAATATTTCCTTTAAAAGTTCTGTTTCAGAAACAAAATCTACCTATATTTCCACAGGTATATCATTCTACATTCCAAACCAAACACTACCTATCATCTTCTTCATCTTTCTATTTCTTATGACCAAAAAACATGTGCATTAAATATGGGAATAATTAAAAAAGAAATCAGAAAAAAATTAGCATGCCTGTTATGAGTTAAGAAACAAAAAAGTGGTTTTTTTTTTTTGGTATATTTTGAAATTGTAACATAAATAAAAAAATATTAGGAATCAAAATAGAAATCCCATTTTCTCACAAAAGGTTTAGTTGTCAGTTAAATAAATGTAGTGCAAAAATCATGCAAAACTGCTTCATTGTCATGAAATCAATACATGCTATACAATCAGTAGCCATCAATAATTCTCCTAATTTTGTTTAAAAAGAAATGTTTAGAATAAAAGAAGAAATTTCTTGATCTAAACCTTAATCCTAACTAAACACAAGTCCTTTAAGTGAAAAATCCCCAAGGTCTGGGGTAATACTTGTCTTTTCATTAAAAATATTAAATAATTTGAAAACAAAAGTTCCTGTTTATAAATAAATCAATGCGTACACATGCCAAATGCATCAAAGAAACCAAGTGAGTTAATCAACATGCAATAATTTTTAACCATTTTGAATGTGTGCATGACTGCATTGATAGTAATTCTACTATATAATATTTAGGTTAAATGTCAACTTCTTAAACACCTTTAAATAAACTTTCCCCCTCAATACAACTATAAGGAACGACAAATCCCTATACACAAAATCTTCTCTTTTTTTTGTATTCTGCTCTAATTCATGTAATGTATTCTTTCTTAATACATTTTGACATCTGAGATGTGGAGTTAAAAATTAATTCAAAGTTTATTACAATATAAATGGACAAACTAACATGAGAGAATTAAAGGGACTTAAAAAAAACCAAATATATCTTATACAAAATACACAGGACAAGGTGCATACATGTTACTTAAAAAGTTAAAGTGAAAATTGTAGCCTACAAATGCTCAGGCCAGGCAGTGAAATTATAGTGAAAACAATTAACATTTCAAGAAAGGTTGAGATTTCATATCCATGATGCAGTTTCATATTTTATATGCTCTAGAAAATTTTGAGAAAATGAAAATTGCAGGAACTGACTGATATCAAATTAACAGCAGATTGCTTGCAGGCTCAATGATAACGTATATACTGTGTTAATTGTATCTAATGGTAAACACATTTATAGAGACTTTAAGATCTAGTGAATGTAGTCGCCATTATCAGAGATTTGTATAGCATCATTTGTTTTTTAGTGTGTGTACACTTTATCACTGATGAGATGAGTGTTAAATACTGAATATCCACACCACCATTCATTGTCTCAAGATGAGGCGATCAATTTTAATAAAAATTCAATTTTTTTAGCACTGCCACTTAACTGTACACTAGGTGAATTTGGTATGAAAAAAATGAAATTTGGCTTTGAATTAAAGTGGAAGAAAGATCAGAGAATGATCAAAAAGAGTTATGACCGAATGTTATTTTAAGCATTTGCCAAACCCTGATTGCCATTTCACTTCCGATTACCAACCACTGATAAGATCAACACGTACAATGTATCTATGGTTACAAAAATAATAAAATGTAGATGCTTGTTTATAGGCATTTTCATGTATGTTCGGAATTGTTTGCAAGAGATTTAACTTTATTATATACAAACTCATTAAAGATAATGCAAAATTAATTGCTCAGCAAATATTTCCAAAATTAATCAATTTACCAGTGAATAAATATGGACATGTTCTATTTATTGCTATGGGGGGGGGGGCTTGAAATTTAATCCCCCAAAGAAGCGCCAACCATGAAAACTGTGAAATATTAGCCCTGTGGAATTACAGCATGTATGGCTGATATACTCTCAGTAACAAAGATAATTTGACATCAGTCTGTTATATTAAAAATAACCAGATAACATAGAAAATATGTGGTTGCCATGGAGACTGGGTGCAGAAGTACCATGTGACTTAACACAATCACTTGGTCTATAGTCACCTACAATCTGGACAATCAGAAAACCTTTGTTGGCCCGTCAAGAATGACATCTTAAAAAATATCTAATAAATTGGCCAAGTCTTTGCTGATTTATATTTTTGAATAAATGTAAAAATGTTAAAGGGATACTACATTCATAAGCAAATTTCTTAAAAAAAACCCTATTCCGATAAATATTTGGCATTTTGCCTTTCATAATTAGGTAAGGACTCTTTTCTTGATCAAATATAATCATTCCCAGTATTTAGATAACACTAATTACATTGGAATAAAATACCAATGTTTCTGTTTAATCCCCCTTTGGATATTTTACATCTTGAACTTTTATAACTGAATTTATGTTTTGTGCCTTTATCTCATTAACCTTGACTGAAAATCACGGGAGGAGAAACAAAGTTTTCCTGAAAGTCTCACTTAGGATGACTAAAGACATGCAGTTGTATCTGTCCTTCAGCAATCATAGCTCGGACACTCAAAATCATAAACAAGGTCACTTTATCAGCATTTCCATTTTTCTAAATAATTGTTAAATCTTGCTTTGATTCTTTTAAACAAAAGCTAATTTATGTGAATGTTTTACATTCTTATACTTGTTGAATATTCATGACAAGCTACACCACCAAGTTATCTCCCTTTGAAGGTAAGTTCTGCTACCAGATGTCAGCACCATGGTGTGTCCATGACAACATATACAGACAATACACTAATTTACGTGATGTTACATCCAAGGTAACTACCAAGTCTACCACAATCATAACAGACTCTACCACATTCATAATAGCCAGAAAGAAGAAGACCTACTCTTAGAAACGCTACCATACGAATTTGTTCTCAAGTTCAAAAAGTTTGGACGGGCTGAAATACATAAATTATCAGCATATACATCCATTCTTATGACACAATCTATTAAATCTTTTTCTTTGTATAAATCTTCATTTATTTTTTCTCAATATATCGCAAATTAAAAAAAAAAAAATACTAAAAACATTTAATTCACATATATATTATTATGTGTAATATATCATTTCAGTTCAGCTATATTTCAGTGAAACTGTAGAAAACTACTTATTTCTTAATTTTTTTTTTCTATAATTTGAAAAAAATAAATATAGAAATCCATTTTAAACCTGTATATATTTTACAATGACTTGCATACATGTTAAAGCCATTCTTTCATATCAACACACAAATGGCCGATGATTTGTTCATAATACTCATAAACTCATAACACAAATGATTTTATACAAAAAGGTTTAACAAGAATTTAAAACATTTTCCCATCATATTTTCCAGATCTTGATAAAAACACCAATATAAGCCTTGGTACATTGGTAACATATCTATTTACAACTGTAGTGTTTGGAATGAGTAAAAAGAACACAAAATTGGATTTGAGTTTATGAATCAATTTGCCATTGTTATGACCTTATTCAACAGCCAACATGAAGTCCTGACCAGGACAAGTTGTGTGCGTCGGGAAAGATTTGTGAAGACAATATCAGCCTATCATACACTGTTCCTAAAGCCTACTTCTGTCTGCCACCACAAAACTTGGTCTTAAAACAACCAGTAGTAGGGAACTCAAACATGAAGATCAGTATAGGGAGGTGAAGGTCAGTATAAGGATGCATGTGTAGGTCAGTTAAGGTAAGGTGAAGGTCAGTGTAGGTCAGTATATGGATGTATAGGTCAGTATAGGGAGGTATATGTCAGTATAGAGAGGTAATGGTCAGTGTAGGGAGGTAATAGTCAGTATATGGAGGTATATGGAGGTATAGGTCAGTATAGGGAGATATCACTATAGGGAGATAATAGTCAATATAGGGAGGTATAGGTCAGTATAGGGAGGTAATGGTCAGTATAGGGAGGTGATGGTCAGTATAGGGAGGCATAGGTCAGTATAGGGAGGTATATGTCAGTATAGGGAGTTATAGGTCAGTATATTGAGATAATGGTCAGTATAGGGAGGTATAGATCAGTATAGGGAGGTATAAGTCAGTATAGGGAGTTATAGGGCAGTATATTGAGGTAATGGTCAGTATAGGGAGGTATAGGTCAGTATAGGGAGTAATAGGTCAGTATATTAAGGTAATGGTCAGTATTGGGAGGTATAGATCAGTATAGGGAGGTGTAAGTCAGTATAGGGAGTTATAGGTCAGTATATTGGGGTAATGGTCAGTGTAGGGAGGTAATGGTCAGTTAAGGGAGGTAAAGGTCAATATAGGGAGGTATAGGTCAGTATAGGGAGGTATTGATCAGTACAGGGAGGTATAGGTCAGTTTCGGGAGGTATAGGTCAGTATAGGGAGGTAATGGTCAGTACAGGGAGGTATAGGTCAGTATAGGGAGGTAATGGTCAGTACAGGGAGGTATAGGTCAGTATAGGGAGGTAATGGTAAGTACAGGGAGGTATAGGTCAGTATAGGGAGTTAATGGTCAGCACAGGGAGGTATAGGTCAGTATAGGGAGGTATAGATCAGTATAGGGAGGTATAGGTCAGTATAGGGAGGTAATGGTAAGTATAGGAGTGTGGCCTGATATTTACAATTATCCTTTAACAGTATTTGGGATACTGTCAAATAAATATTTCAACATGTTTCCAATCGTATGACTTCATCGCAGACAAAAAAGTTTCTTATCACAGATTTAGTGTAAACAGATTCTCATACTGATTGTTAATCAAAAGAGGTTCTGAAGTTTGTTGTCAGTGCACTCAGGTTCTATATAGGTAGTCAATTTACAGACATTTCTCTACAGAAGAAATTATTCCAACAGATTTCCGATGAATCATCAGCATTTTCCTAACATAATGATTATGAAATTCTTCCTGGTTGTCATGGTTACCACGTGTGATGGCAGGACATAAGTATCATGAAGCACAACAACACACGCCAAGTCACACCTCATTGCAGTGTCGCGATCAGAACCAAAGAAGGAAACAAAATAAAAAGATGGATTAAAATGATGCCTTCTTAACAAATGGAACTGTAAAAATCTCACCTGTGATTGAACAAAGAGAAAAACACAGAAATATTAACAATTACAAACTGTCTCGCAAATGTTGCTTGGAAATTGCTGGGTACATTTGTTTATGGAAGCAACCTGTTGTTACAAATGTTGTTTTGTGACCAGTTCTAACACTGATATAAAAATCTTATCATCAGATTTTTAAAACTCTGTTTTTAAATCCCTTTGACAGATCCAGGATGGAGAACTGATATCAACACACTGTGAACAAAAGGTGGCCTCGAGGTCATCAGGCAATAAGGTTACTATACCCAAATGCAATAACCAAACCATCATTTTGTTCATTTATTGAAAAAAAAATTATTGCAGATATTCAGCTCTAAATTATTTTTATTTTGTTGCAATCTATCTTATACTTTACAAAGTTATAATTATCTATATTACATGTATCACACGCAAAGCAACCGTAACAAAAAACCATTGCCAAGGAACACTGCAGAAACACTCCTTTCATTCAAAATAGATGCTTCTTTATGAAGTTAAGAAGTGTCCACCTGATTTTGAGGAGTGGAGATAGCAGAGCATATTTTTGCAGAAAAAATGGATAAAAAAAATAATGAAAAAAGCAAACAATAAAGAAAAAATAAATGAAGCAAAAAGACACATCCAACCTGAAAGCTGTTTCATAACACTGCATTATCTGGGCTTTAACTGTTTTCTATGATTGAATATATGCTTAAAGAACTGTCTTTACATTTTAGAATAATTCAGAACAAACATCCTTAAATCTTTCCCGGTCAAACTTTTGATAATTTTGCATGCTGAGGTTTTCTGATGGAATAATTCAAAGCTTGCAAAGGTATTTAAATGAAATAATTTTCTGCACATCATTAAAAACAAAAAAGATAGAATCCCAATTTTTTTTTTTGCAATTAAGATTGTAACAAAAATTAGAAGAAAAAAATGAAAGTGATACAATATTCAGCAAACAAAAGATCCCAGAAAAAAATGGAGATTTACCCACCTAGAACTACAAAACATTGGTTAGTGAGTTCCTTGGCAATGGTTGCTAGGTCCATCCCAACCAGCGATCGAGATCGCTTACGAGAAAACTCACCAGGGTGCGAGCCAAGTTGTCCTGATGATAAAGAGTCCAGTGAGAGGTCCTGTATGCTGTCTGCTCGAAGCTAGAAAACCAGAAAACAGGCCTTATCAATTAATCCATAAGGATAGAAAGTTGTTTTTGTTGATAATTCACTTTACAGCATGAATGAAGATACCATGATAAAGTAATTCCATTTTGATGATTTAAATTTTTTTTTTTAAAAAGTCATACAGATTTATTCCAAAATTTATCTGACCTCATAAGCAATCACTGTAATATTGTTAATCTAGATCTCTACTGATGTCAGAGAAAAGTTTTATCAAATTCATAACAATAGTTATAAACACGGTACATCTGATGATTACTCATATCATTCTGATTGGTGACAGTATGTCAGTCATTCTGATTGGTGACAGTATGTCAATCATTCTGATTGGTGACAGTATGTCAGTCATTCTGATTGGTGACAGTATGTCAGTCATTCTGATTGGTGACAGTATGTCAGTCATTCTGATTGGTGACAGTATGTCAGTCATTCTGATTGGTGACAGTATGTCAGTCATTCTGATTGGTGACAGTATGTCAGTCATTCTGATTGGTGACAGTATGTCAGTCATTCTGATTGGTGACAGTATGTCAGTCATTCTGATTGGTGACAGTATGTCAATCATTCTGATTGGTGACAGTATGTCAGTCATTCTGATTGGTGACAGTATGTCAGTCATTCTGATTGGTGACAGTATGTCAGTCATTCTGATTGGTGACAGTATGTCAGTCATTCTGATTGGTGACAGTATGTCAGTCATTCTGATTGGTGACAGTATGTCAATCATTCTGATTGGTGACAGTATGTCAGTCATTCTGATTGGTGACAGTATGTCAGTCATTCTGATTGGTGACAGTATGTCAGTCATTCTGATTGGTGACAGTATGTCAGTCATTCTGATTGGTTACAGTATGGGTTACAGTATGTCAGTCATTCTGATTGGTGACAGTATGTCAGTCATTCTGATTGGTTACAGTATGTCAGTCATTCTGATTGGTGACAGTATGTCAGTCATTCTGATTGGTGACAGTATGTCAGTCATTCTGATTGGTGACAGTATGTCAGTCATTCTGATTGGTGACAGTATGTTAATCATTTTGATCGGTGATAGTATGTCAATCATTCTGATTGGTGACAGTATGTCAATCATTCTGATTGGTGACAGTATGTCAATCATTTTGATTGGTTGGTTACTGGGTGACACCAATGATTTTTGGTGAAATAATTAATATTTAGCCAGAAATGTTTTCAGATGAGAAATATTGTACAAGATTCCTTCAGTTCTTCATAATGTGGTTTACCTGTCCTTCTAATTTCATAGGTGAGAGAGCTCCCTGAAACAAAGACATGAGAAACAACATCATCTATTAAATCTTTTATACTTGATAAGAATTTTCCTTTCGATCTTAAAGCAAACAGACAAGAAATTAACTTGATTCAGGATTAGAATATTTTACCATTAAAATAATTATGATTTTTAAAGAAAGCTGAAAATATAAAGCTTATCTAGTTTCATTTAAAAGCAAAATAACCTGCGTAATTTGATACTGACTGAGGCAAAATAGTCACAGAGAACCACAATAATGTGAATCATGACATGTTATTGAAAACCACTTATACCAATAGATTGCAGATTAATATATTTACAGCGTGTATGTTGGGAACACTGGTCGTCTTACGTAGTCCTAAACCTGTAGATGCCGTCAGCTCCTTTACCGCTACATTCTGAAAATATATAAGTTTCCAGTAAATACAAGCAAACTTACGGAAAAGTCATTGCAGTTTAAACATTTTATTATCTGTAGCAGTAAAGGCTAAGACACAGATAGACAATGTGACCATTGAACTTCAAAAGATCTTGACCTTAAGCATATACAGACCTAAGTAATTTGTAGCTCCCAGACATCATTCAATTTTCCTGACATACCTTCTATGTGTAAAAATATAATGTACAAGGTGTCACGATGTGACCTTAAGTTTTCAGTAATACAGTCCTGCAAATAGTGCACAATACATAGTCTTGCAACCCCACACTCCTTCTGAGAACAAGATATATTACAAAGAAATTAAACCTCTGTGTAACCTTGACCTTGATGTAGTTGATATAGTTTGTTTCAAAATTGTTCTAAAACAATGTTTAGAGTTTTGTTACCTGTCTAAGCCTGTCCAGTGTCAGAATACTCTCTACACTGGAAATTCCCTTGATATACTTCTCTATGTAGGTTTCCCCGTCTGTGGCACTGATCTCATTCTGAGAGGCAGCCATTTGTGCTAAACTCTCCATATTCTCCAAGTCCTCTGATGCCTTTTGGAGAAAAAAAAAAAAAAATAGTGAAGAGGATTTGATCTGATCCTCTACTTGAAATGAACTTGACTTACAAAGAGTAATATGTTGATAATTTTAACTAAACTGTAATAGACATGGGTGGGCTTATAACCGAGCAAAGGCTTATCAAATACTCTGTAGATTATATTAGAACAAGATGTAATAATCCGACATAGGACAGTATTTATAACATTAAATAGCTGTGTAACACTGATAAATTAGTTACTACTTTAAGAAAACATGAAAGTATTCGATGGAAGTAAGAAATATATATCAGAAATAAGGGAGGTAACAGACCTTAGGTATGTTGGACACAACGTCATAGGTGACTCCACTAGCGAAGGATTTCTCTGCACCTGTGATGCGTTTTTTGAGTCGATCTGTAAGACTAGATATACTGAAGTTGTTGTAGATGTTGATACACATACGTTTACGTAACACAAGTTCCATATACGCGGGGTGACTCAATCGCACCACTGTCTTTAAGATAAGGTACACACGCTCGTTAGATTGTGTCACACGGTTCAGGTATGGGGAATCATGAATTGAAGAGTCCCAGGATGCAACAGCACATACCTGTAAAATTTAAATTATACATCAAAGTTCTTAATTTGGAATAATTACCATAAAAAGAAATACACATACTTCAATTTCTTGTGGCTGTGATAAAACAATAGTTTTAATTCATCTCAATAAATTTTGAAATTTTAATCAAATGAAATTTAACAAATACAAGAATAAAGATTTAAGTACATGATCAAGTCACACACCTGTGAATTGATATCAAGATAAATTTTAAGATTGAAACTACACCCATACATAAGGCTATTTAGAGATAATTTGAAAACTGAAGAGAGACAATAGGGTTTACCATAGAATCAACTGTATTGAATTGGCATGGGATAGAGCCAGCCTACTTTTAGGTTGACATAATGTTGATTGAATATTTTGTGCTAAAATCAATACTTGTTAGTATGCTGTATGATTTCTGGTTACCAAAGAGATTACAGGTGTACGTATGGTACCTTAATAGTTTCCACATTAGGCACCTCCTATCATATGTAAGTGTCATTACATGTTTTCTAGTTGAGAGTTCAGAAAAAAAACATTTAAGACAGACACATCATAAAATTAAAACATTTTCCTTGAGAGTAACATTATAACACTTAATGCTGATTATGTAAAAACACAAATTTACTTATTGTGACAAATATCCGGTAAACGGGAAATAGATTGATTCCCATAGCTCACCAAAACAAGGCTTTCCCTGTACGTAATATCTATCAACTATAGACCTTTGATGAGATCAAAATAGTGTTGTATCAACCAGGTAGAAAGATATCACCTGATTATGAGGTCAATATTTTTCTACCAGGTCAATATCATACCACATTGACATGTATTAATCAAAGGTCCTTAATCTTTATACTACATATGTGCTTGTAATGTGATTATCACCATGAATATATTTATGTAATAATCCTATGTTAAAATTGATATCATAATCAAGATGTCTGAATTAGAATATCACAAAAGCTACACACAATAGGCCAAAGAGTCCTGCATGGCTTAATTAAGCTCTTCATTTATTTAACAATGAATTTCAAATAATTCCTGAACTTATTTTCCTATTGGGTCCTAGCTTTGTGTTCAAACTGAAGTCAGATCCACTATTCATAAGATTTGCTTCAGACCGAACAATAACATTGTATGGAAGAAGGATTTTTAAGAAATTACATTTCCCAAATTGAGCCCAACTCCTCCATCCCCAGAGGGCAGGGATCCCCCATTTATACAATAGTGATTACCTTTCATCCAAGAATATATTAAAATTTAGGAGATATCCATTCATTACTACAGGTGGAGTGGGATATTAAAGAATTGACTTGATTTTCCAAATTAGCCCTGCCCCTACTGCCAAGGGGACAGAGATCTAACATCTGTATAAGACTGATCCCCATTTACCAAATAATACTTCAGACCAAATCTGGGCAATAAATATAAAGAATCTCCTATAATTCTCATATTGAGCCCCATCCTTCTGGCCCAAGGGATCCAAGACCTACCTTTTATACAAGACTGATCTGCCTTCACTCAAAAATGCTTTAGACCAGATGTGGGACTTATCCATTCATTTCTACAGGAGCACCAGGAATAGAATTTTGAAGAACTTGAAAAATTTGCCATTTTGGGCCAAGCCCCTTAAGCTCCTAGGGGCTGAGAACTTATATCTATACAAACTTGGTTTGACTTCCCCAAAGGATGCTTCTGACCAAATTTGGTCAAAATCTGTTCAATCGTTCATGACCAGTGGTTATTTTTAAACAGATAAGAAATTGATGCTGTGCCATGGCATAAGCTCAATGGTCCTTCGTCCAGGTGAGTTATTAGTGCAACAGCAGGTAATCATATACATGTGATTGAATAATGACTTAGGATTGGTTATCTCTATTTCACACAATATGATCTCACTAAAACATGCTTAAAGTCTTCTATCTATAACTTTGCTTCTTTAGAATTATTTTTCTATTTTGTTCCTTCAAAAATTATTGCTAAATTCAAATTACACTATCAGAGCTTCAACCATGACTTAAATGTAAATATCTGTTACTGATAAAATGTGATACATAAAATTCATACATTGAATTAAGAATATTGACACGTATAAATATATGTAAAATTTGTCAGTAAGGAAATATTAGTGATATACAGTGAATTATCGATACACATGTCATATTATTACATTGTCGGTTTTAGGGCAATGCAGTGGCAAGGCATTTGCATTTCCCCTGAATTCCCCAATCAGAGTGGGTCACACAAGCTTGAAACCTGTGAAAGTTGGTCTTCCCCAAGTTAACAATGATGTATGATGTAGGTTATTACAAAGGCAAAAGGACAGAAGTTGGTAAAGGGTTATTATAACAGGAGATGGTATAGGGTTAACTGTGATGTAGGTTATTACAGAAAGGCTAGGACAGGAGATGGTATAGGGTTAACTGTAGGTTATTACAGAGAGGCTAGGACAGGAGATGGTATAGGGTTAACTGTGATGTAGGTTATTACAGAAAGGCTAGGACAGGAGATGGTATAGGGTTAACTGTGATGTAGGTTATTACAGAATGGCTAGGACAGGAGATGGTATAGGGTTAACTGTGATGTAGGTTATTACAGAATGGCTAGGACAGGAGATGGTATAGGGTTAACTGTAGGTTATTACAGAGAGGCTAGGACAGGAGATGGTATAGGGTTAACTGTGATGTAGGTTTTTACAGAAAGGCTTGGACAGGAGATGGTATAGGGTTAACTGTGATGTAGGTTATTACAGAGGGGCTAGGACAGGAGATGGTTTAGGGTTAACTGTGATGTAGGTTTTTACAGAAAGGCTTGGACAGGAGATGGTATAGGGTTAACTGTGATGTAGGTTATTACAGAGAGGCTTGGACAGGAGATGGTTTAGGGTTAACTGTGATGTAGGTTATTACAGAGGGGCTAGGACAGGAGATGGTATAGGGTTAACTGTGATGTAGGTTTTTACAGAAAGGCTTGGACAGGAGATGGTATAGGGTTAACTGTGATGTAGGTTATTACAGAGAGGCTTGGACAGGAGATGGTTTAGGGTTAACTGTGATGTAGGTTATTACAGAGGGGCTAGGACAGGAGATGGTATAGGGTTAACTGTGATGTAGGTTATTACAGAATGGCTAGGGCAGGAGATGGTATAGGGTTAACTGTGATCTAGGTTATTACAGAGGGGCTAGGACAGGAGATGGTATAGGGTTAACTGTAATGTAGGTTATTACAGAGAGGCTAGGACAGGAGATGGTATAGGGTTAACTGTGATGTAGGTTTTTACAGAAAGGCTAGGACAGGAGATGGTATAGGGTTAACTGTGATGTAGTTTATTACAGAAAGGCTAGGACAGGAGATGGTATAGGGTTAACTGTGATGTAGGTTATTACAGAAAGGCTAGGACAGGAGATGGTATAGGGTTAACTGTGATGTAGGTTATTACAGAAAGGCTAGGACAGGAGATGGTATAGGGTTAACTGTGATGTAGGTTATTATAGCAGAGCAAGGATAGAAGTTGTTTACAATTTTGCAGCTTTGTTACAACATGTCCATATATAGGTATATCTGCTGTATGATACAAGCGTACTTCTTTCTTTTTAACAATAGATGTTATTACTTCGAGTTTAGTCAAACTTCCTTATCAAAGTCCGTGGTCTGCTGAGGGTCCTACTGAGTTACAGAACAGTTCCAGATAAACAGGGTCTACAAGTGATCAGAGTTCCAGATAAACAGGGTCTACAAGTGATCAGAGTTCCAGATAAACAGGGTCTACAAGTGATCAGAGTTCCAGATAAACAGGGTCTACAAGTGATCAGAGTTCCAGATAAACAGGGTCTACAAGTGATCAGAGTTCTAGATAAACAGGGTCTACAAGTGATCAGAGTTCTAGATAAACAGGGTCTACAAGTGATCAGAGTTCTAGATAAACAGGGTCTACAAGTTCCAGATAAACAGGGTCTCTAGATAAACAGGGTCTACAAGTGATCAAAGTTCCAGATAAACAGGGTCTACAAGTGATCAGAGTTCCAGATAAACAGGGTCTACAAGTGATCAGAGTTCCAGATAAACAGGGTCTACAAGTGATCAGAGTTCCAGTTAAACAGGGTCTACAAGTGATCAGAGTTCCAGATAAACAGGGTCTACAAGTGATCAGAGTTCTAGATAAACAGGGTCTACAAGTGATCAGAGTTCCAGATAAACAGGGTCTACAAGTGATCAGAGTTCCAGTTAAACAGGGTCTACAAGTGATCAGAGTTCCAGTTAAACAGGGTCTACAAGTGATCAGAGTTCCAGATAAACAGGGTCTACAAGTGATCAGAGTTCCAGATAAACAGGGTCTACAAGTGATCAGAGTTCCAGATAAACAGGGTCTACAAGTGATCAAAGTTCCAGATAAACAGGGTCTACAAGTGATCAAAGTTCCAGATAAACAGGGTCTACAAGTGATCAAAGTTCCAGATAAACAGGGTCTACAAGTGATCAGAGTTCTAGATAAACAGGGTCTACAAGTGATCAGAGTTCCAGATAAACAGGGTCTACAAGTGATCAAAGTTCCAGATAAACAGGGTCTACAAGTGATCAAAGTTCCAGATAAACAGGGTCTACAAGTGATCAAAGTTCCAGATAAACAGGGTCTACAAGTGATCAAAGTTCCAGATAAACAGGGTCTACAAGTGATCAGAGTTCCAGATAAACAGGGTCTACAAGTGATCAGAGTTCTAGATAAACAGGGTCTACAAGTGATCAAAGTTCCAGATAACAAAGTTTGACTGGTTAAGGTATATAATTCTGATGTGTTTATAGACGAAGAGTATGTAACAGTACACAGATCATTACAGTACTTAAACAGAATTTGGATGATGTGAGTTAGTGCACTGACAAACTCTGTTATACCTACTTATAGTGTAAATGTCATTAGTTTCAGTATACCACTCAATAAGGACTGGTTAGAGCAATCACTCTCTAGCAGACTGTCGACGGTAACTATATATAACAAGCATGGGAGTAAAACGACAAGAGTCTCACTTCACAAATCATAACCCTGCCATATCTTGAACTTCAATACCTAAATTGACAACTTTCGGAGACAATATGATCCTAACTAAAATCCCATCTCCTTAGATGTTTGCATGTTGATTGAAAAAATCCCATTAACTGCTTACCGTAATATTCATGGTTACTGCCAAACATAATATCCAGCAAATGGTTTTACTGTGAATCTGAGGAAATATTTATCATTTCCCAGTAGATACACAAACTAAAATATATCACAGCAAAATTTAACAACTATAAAGTACAGCTGAGATTTTTACAGGGGGACTTTTCTCAAAAACCCTGTCATATCAGGTTTTGTTAATTAAGGCCTTTTGTTAGGTGACTTTTTTGATAAACATTGTTGTGAATATGTAGACCTTTGTCAGACCTATGTCATACAACCATTGCCAAGAAATTTGGGTTATGTGATTTTTACCAGATAACCTATGACATGTAACCTACATCTTGTGACCTTTGACTAATAACATGCAAATGGTGACCTGTCATTTGACCTTGACCTTTATCTAGTGACTTATGAGAAGTGATCCACATCTAATGACCTGTTTCATGTGACTTACAAATAATGGTCTATGGCTTCTGACCTTTGACATGTAAATTTTGCCTGGTTTACAGTTCTGATCTTGCTCTCTGTTGTTATTGATTTATGACATGTGACCTATGACATGTGACCTTTGACATGTAAATTTTGCCTGGTTTACAGTTCTGATCTTGCTCTCTCTTGTTATTGATTTATGACATGTGACCTATGACATGTGACCTTTGACATGTAAATTTTGCCTGGTTTACAGTTCTGATCTTGCTCTCTGTTGTTATTGATTTATGACATGTGACCTATGACATGTGACCTTTGACATGTGACCTTTGACATGCAGACTTTGCCTGGTTTACAGTTCTGATCTTGCTCTTGTTCGTTATTGGCTTATGACATGTGACCTATGACCTTTGACATGTAAACTTAGACTGATCAGTACCTATCTTGCTCTAGTTTTCTAACATCATGTTTGAGATGTACAATATATGTAGCAATTCTGTTGAATTTCCCTGACACCATTTTATAATTGTACAATACTGACAGAAAAAAAGAGGTTAAATTGTAAAATGGTGCATCAGATGATTCTTTTGTTTTAATGGGCTATTTAAGATTGTGAAGGTATAGTTTGACTATAGGTTAGTATTATGTACTAGGTTATCAGTATCATACATCTATCCTGCTAGGTTATATAATTACTATCACACCACTCAGCTTAACTGTTACCTGAAGTCTATTATTCTACAATACAAAACAATACAATCATTAAATTTTCAGATCAATTGTCTCATTTTTCTTGATTTTAAAATTCAATTAATGCACTTCCACTTTTTTCATATCTATCAACACATCACACATAATAAATCTAAGCTCCATCTATGAAATTCTTTTAAGTTCTGACCAGAAAGTAGCTTGGTTTGACTATTTTTCTCTGAATCTTGCATGTCATCAAATGTATTTGGCTCTCTAAACCCTCAAATAATCCAAGCGGCCAAAATACCATCACTAGGTCACGGATGTGAGCTCTATACATGGCAACAAAGAAGAATTTGCTTGCAATCCTACTAAAATGAAATAAGTCTGGGTGGGCCTATTAGCAGGCATGGGCTAATCTCCAGATAAATATAGTAAAACACTGTGTATAGTTTCCTCTAAGTCCTAATTACAGTTGTTAAAACAAACACTGAAGCCACGCTTACATTATCTTTTTCGGTGAATGTTTTGATGATAGGAAGGTTGACAAAAGTGGAAGCATGTTCTTTCACTAAAATGGAATTAACACCCGCAGCCTGGAATCCTTCTTTGACTCCTGATGTACTCATATCATCCGCTGAAAGATAACATTTGGCTTTTATTAGAATTACAAACAAAGGAATCCATGGGATCATTCAGAAACTCACAGAAAAATCTTTAAAGGGCTTCTAGCATCTATAAATAATTTTGTATGAAGCATACATCAAGTTACCATGAAAACATACAGAAAAACCACAATTATGATTTACAAAAAAAAAAACAACAGAGTTTTCAGCTGAATTCAATTTGAAAATTGTTTAAGAGTCATACTAGTGAATAGCACTTTTTTCATATAAAATTATTAGAACCTCCCTCGATACATTTTACACAAACTTACATTTTTAATCTTAGGAAGTAGGAAGTAAAAAAGTATTCAATCTAACATTAACTCCCTCCTCCAATTAAACAAAGTTTGGACAAAAGAAGTGAGTGTTCCATAATGGTTCATCTAACAAGTTAGGCTATGATCTCGACTTTAAAATGACGCTTGTTTTGTTCTTGTTAATTATACAAAATTCTTTCATCTAAAGAAACAGAAATTAACATTTTAATTTGTCTTCTGTCAATTTGTTGTTGGGAGATGTTGATGTTGGCTTCAGAAGTTGTGATTGTTCACATTAAACAAGTTTTTCTAACCACCAGCAATAGAATGTTTAACATCAAATTCATAACTGTCTACAATAACTTGTACATCTTAATTTCAAAGAGTTATTTCCCTTGAGATAATTTTTATGCTATCTCGTAGTTTTAATTCTATGCTCATTCTTCAGTATATCAGGAATCCATTGGACCTAATGGATTACCATGTAAACAACTGTTCCCTTTAACTTTTCGTTCTCCTCCTGAATATATTTTTTTAAACTGTATACTTTCAGAACCTCCCAGCAACTTCCATCAAAACTCACCGTTTAGATCTAGAAACAGTACTGGTCGGTGTTCCTCTAGATCCTCTGGAGCCTCACCGGAACTGACACAAAACAAAACATAATGGTCGTATTATTTGATGAAGTCATATTTTTACGTATTAACTAATGTCACATGACATTAATCACAGAATTCAATCGTATGAATAAATTGATCTTCAATTATTTTTCATTTCATATGACTAAGAGAATCAAGGTAAAGGTTTGATACTTTAGTTATCAGCCACTTGCCATTAGTACATACATCCTCATTTATAATAAATATTTATAAAGGAAACATTTTTAAGTATCTCAAGATTTTATTCACTTACTGAATAAAATCATCTGATTTTTTTAGTTTCAAAAACTTCATCAACAATTTAAGACTGGTTTTATGATAATCAATAAAACAAATGTGATGAACTTTCAGACAAGAAAAATCAAACAACATGGTTTAAGGTTTGAGGAATTACCATTCTGCTGGTGCCCCAGGAATACCACTTCCGGGACTTGGTACCATGACAGCATTTCTCTCGTCTGTCAGGGACATCCACTGGTCCATCAATGCTCTCTCTCGATCCACATCAGAGTCGGACTTATCTAAAGATATTTATATTTTGTTGTAGAAGTAAGGAAAGGTTCTCAATCCAAAACCAACAAAAACCTTACTAGTCAGCCCTACTGTAAGTATGTAATACTGTATCAGTAAAATGGTCTTAGAACATTGTTTCATAATTCAATTCTGACACAACCTTTCAAGGTTAAAACCATTTATAAATATCACATAAAAATATGCAGAATTCTTTGATCTAAAATCTTATTTGTTACATCTTATTTTAGTGGTTTGACCATTGAATCTACAGGGCAAACATTTCATGTTATAAAGTATGTCATTTTTTGATTATCAACCATTTTACAGAGTTGTTAAGACCTGGAGTTATCAATCATATATCTGGACAACATCATCTTCTATCGTAAAATCAGATATTTTCACAATTCTCAATTTTCGTAGTTTTTCAGAAATACACTTTTTATTAAGTATTGCCCAATAAATCCACATTACTGATAATAAGAGATAAAACTTTTTGACAAAAACTAGCTACTCAACTGATAATTACTTGTTCCCAATATATCCTTGTACAACTTGCGATTAAAAATGACCAAATATGGAATTGCCTGTTTTAGTGAATGGTTTATAGTCCTATATACACACACCCAGACAAATTAGGTCTAACCATCAACTATATACCATAACTCTTATTTGCTGAAAAAGACACACTATTGTAGGATTAACTGGGATTTCACATAATGCATGTGATGATAAAAGATTCCCATCTTTGGGTCTACAAATGAAAAATGTACCGATATGACCTCAAAAATAATTTGTCTGCATGCATGTTTGACGAGAACAAACCAGCTATTAAAGAATGTTTAACAAACATATCTTTCTTATTGGGAAGATTTACTGTTTGTCCTTCGTTAACTTGTATATAGTTGAAACTTGTTATCTCATTTTCTTATAACTCAAAGACGCTGTTTAATATGAAGTATTTTGTCAGTTCCATCCAAACTTTACACTTAATTATTTGAACTTAAATCAAATACTTGAATAACATAAAGTTTTCCCATGATCCTGTCAATTTCAAGAAAACGAGGTTTGACTATGGACTCCATAACTCTGGGTTTTTGTATTTTGTTAGGCAGCCTTCATTGCTTCATGCATTTTTTGATTCTACAGTTTTCTAAGTGACTTTTAGGAAAACTGTTCTTAGTATGTTAGGTTTTTGAAAGTTTCATACCAAATATTTTATGGAATTTTGACAGATCTATAAGGGAGACTGTGATGTACCTTGCTTATTTATGAGTTTCTGGAGTTGTTCATTCAAGTAATCTTTCCTTCTAGCCAGCGCATCTGACCACCTGTCCCGCAGGTGTGCGAGGTCAACCTCCTGGTAACTGTCCAGACCTTTCTGAATTTTGTTGCGTATGTAGATACAACCAACTTGTATAGATGATACAGAGTCACAGATAAGTGGCAGCGTCCCAGAGTTTGCTACTGGTTTTATCCGTACAAATACTCGCCGAGTATGACCCTGAAACAAAGAAATTTGTCTCCAAAATAATGGTATGATCTAACCAAGCATCTATCCTACAATCTTTACACATGTTTGATGATGAGGTTTCATATGGTATTGTCTTCTTGGCTCAAATTGATTGCCAATTCTTTGAAAAAATGAAAGGTCTCAATTTTTATGGATAAAATATTTTTAAAAACACAATTTCTTTTCATGAAATAAGAGTTACGTCCCCTTACCTGCTGTAACTGAAACACCCCAGCAGATGGTACCTCTGGTTTGGGTTGTACTTCAACAGGAACATACTCCCCCTGGTGGTTAAGTTCGTGAACTTCTGTCCATAATTCTATCTGTCTCATCACCTCACTCCATCTACAATCATAGAGGCCAATTGCAGGCTACTCACCACGTACTTACAATCAACATGTACATACAAAGTTAATGTATATAAAGCATTTTCAGACAATAAAGGTGAATTTCTGGTAATATGGTATCCATACAAAACGATCAACAAGAGTAGTAACAGACATCTGGCTCCTGTATCTCACTCAAATCCTGAGCTATAAATTGATATTTTTTGTTAGGTGCGTCTAATTGATCAAATAATTTATCTGAAATTTAAACAAAAAATTCAAGTCTGACTTTCACCTTTGACCTGGTGACCTTGCCTTGTAATTAGGAGACTTTTTATTCAAGTTCAACTGATTATGCATCAATACATCATGAAACTGAACAATTACTTGTAAAATATTTCAAATATGACTTCCAACTTGAGCAAAAGTGTTTGCCTTTGAAATATTTCAAATCCCATCTTGACCTATGATCTAATTACCTTTACCTGTCGGCTACTCATTTGATTTTTACCAATTCTACATTATACATAACAAAATGTCTGTTAATGAAATATCTCATCTGACCTTGGACCAGATGACCTTGACCTGTATTTAGGTGACTTCTCATTTGATTTCAGTCAATTATTTCATGTCACAAATAAATATTCAGCAGTAACATTGACAAATGATATATTTTTGCTCTACTTTCCCAATTTGAATTTTTGTTTTTTAACATTTCCAATTAAAAAAAAAATTGTTTTTACATTCCCAATTCAATTTACAGTAATGATGACCTTGATCATTGACTTGAAAAGTCATCCTAAAATAGCACTTCCTGCCAAGTTACAATGGGTGAAGTGTAAGTGTAAGCATTCAAACAGAACAGAAGATATTTTAAAAGAAAAAAAATCACGCACGCACGCACGCACACACACGCACGCACACACACAATCTCACACGTACACACACATGCACGCACGCACACACACACACACACCGTGGCACATTGCATTTTTGGTGTAAATATTAATTACAGGTTGCTAATGTATTGTTTACATTTACATTGTAAAAGATATAATACACTATTTATACATTAAATCACATTTAATAACTAGAATTTAAGTAACTGGTAACAAGCTATATATACAGGTAAATCCTACATTTATTGGTAAATAACAGGTAACAAGCTATATATACAGGTAAATCCTACATTTATTGGTAAATAACAGGTAACAAGCTATATATACAGGTAAATCCTACATTTATTGGTAAATAACAGGTAACAAGCTATATATACAGGTAAATCCTACATTTATTGGTAAATAACAGGTAACAAGCTATATATACAGGTAAATCCTACATTTATTGGTAAATAACAGGTAACAAGCTATATATACAGGTAAATCCTACATTTATTGGTAAATAACAGGTAACATGCTATATATACAGGTAAATCCTACATTTATTGGTAAATAACAGGTAACAAGCTATATATACAGGTAAATCCTACATTTATTGGTAAATAACAGGTAACATGCTATATATACAGGTAAATCCTACATTTATTGGTAAATAACAGGTGACATGCTATATATTAATATAACATATATTGATGGGTACATTGTAAATATCAAGCTACTTCAATTAAACTGTATATACAGTAAAATATTATAGCTGTGATCAGTCATTAAAGAATTCAGTATCTATGATCGTATTCACCACCATTCTACAAATGATCATTTTTAGATCAAATGTTGTAAGGTTGGTGCTATGTAAGTCTGATTAACACCACTCCCAGATTGTGAGAGAGAAAAGTGTTACAAGTAAAATACAGGATTTGTTTTCTTTCCTGTAATCCTGTTATTCCTGTTAAACAGCCACATTGAGTAACAAGTAATACCTCTGATGGCTGTAACACTGTATATGTGACAGTGTGTAACACATGGCCACTGATGTATGTCCTGGAGACAACACTGTGACAGAAGGAGATCCACGGAGAAGAAAACCCAACACTTTATAACATGTCTGAAATCTCAGGAATGTTGAAACTTAATGTATATTTTTTACCTCATTACTAATGACCTCTCTGGTAACGTCCCTGACCTTTTTCTTATTACCAACCTTACAGGTAATGTCCTTCATCCAATTACTTACCTCACTGGTAGTGTCCTTGACATAATTTCTTCATTACTAACCTTTGTAGTAATGTCTTTGACCTTATTTCTGACCTAAACAGAAACATCTTGAACTTTGTTTATTACTGACCTTGAAGGTAATATCAATGGGCTAATTACTGATATCCTTGACCTTATTACTGACCTGTCTGCTAAAGTCCTTGATCGAGCTATAATGTTGTCCATTCCGTTGTTTACCAGACCAAACCCTGGACTTCGATGCCCCCAAACTTCTATTGACAGTGCTCCTTCAGAACAGTGCTCAATAAACTCCTCCGTAATATAAACCTTAAAATCCTGCAAAACAATGTTCACCACCATCAGATCACAATACAACAGATGCCAAACAATTTGTCTCGTTATGAAAAACTATAAATACATGTATTCCATAGCTTGTGATATCTGTTAATGATTCTTTACTTACATATATCCTTTAGTCCTCATTATGTTGAGCACTTTTTAAGGAACTCTACAGAATACCCAGCAGTCCCTCTACCTTCTTTATATCTGAGTGAACACCTCTCAGTACTAGGTAACTAGAGTCTCAGAGTTTATAGCAAAGCCTGTTTGTTTGGTTCATTGCTCCATGAGCAGCTAGGGTCATACAAAGGCAGTGTATCCTATAGTAGTTGTAATTAGATCACTGAACATAACACTGGAGGCCCATCACACATCATCCAGAAAATTGAGATTTAAGTGTCTTGCCCAATGATACAGCAATTACAGCCCAGGCCAACCGAGGTTACCATGCCAACGCTTTAGACCACAGAGCTAACCATTATCATCCCTGACATTGTCTTTCCACCAAGGACACTTCTTTGTCACAGCTTTGTTTGACAATAACTTGAGCTGGGATTTGTTTGACAATGGTTTGTGAGATTTTGTTTGACAATAACTTGAGCTGGGATTTGTTTGACAATGGTTTGATAGATTTTGTTTGGTTTGTGAGATTTTGTTTGACAATGGTTTGTGAGATTTTGTTTGACAATAGTTTGTGAGATTTTGTTTGACAATGGTTTGTGAGATTTTGTTTGACAATGGTTTGTGAGATTTTGTTTGACAATGGTTTGATAGATTTTGTTTGACAATAGTTTGTGAGATTTTGTTTGACAATGGTTTGTGAGATTTTGTTTGACAATGGTTTGTGAGATTTTGTTTGACAATGGGTGTTGGTCTGTTTTACAATCATCACATAAAACAACATGCAATGATTGAACCCAAATATTGCTGAGAGAAGACCAGGAGATATTTACTATTGGGAAACATTTTTAATGTTAATGAGGGTTTACTTTTCAAATGTCAGGAAAATCACAATGTACCTAATAGTAAATGGGGAAATAAAAAGATTTCACAAATATAGTAACAGCTAGTGACTGGTGGAAATTGACTAGATTTTATCAGGACTTAAAGAATGTTTTATTTAAAAAAGATGTAAGTATTCTTAACCTAATGCTGCCAATTGTATATAAAATAAGAAAGAGAAAAAATAAATATGACACCTGGTGCTAATCAGACCAGACCAAGTCATTAAAAATGATAGAAATAATAAATAAAGATTGGGGAAGAAGTTTGATATATTTAGTAGTAATTGTTAATGCCCGTATACAATTATCATGCTTATCATGGGTTAAGATTAAATTTGTATTTTTTGATAAAATAGTCGCACAATTTATGTTACTTATATAAGCAAAGCACATTTCTAGTAAGTCTTACAATACAATTAGATACTGCCTTATTTCAGGGATTAAATGTCAATAAGTACCTGGACTCACCTTGGTCACAGCCTAAATTACAGCGAAATTTATACATAAATATCTCCTAACCCTGGTGTTCATTTTAATCTTTTCTAAAATGAAGCATAATTGTAAAAATCTTATTTCACCTTACTATTAGGAGAAAGTTGTTCAAACCTTTTGTTTACAAAACTTTGGTAAATCAACCTTAAAAGGATTATCCTTTAGACAAATCCTGTAAATCGATATGTCACGAGGTATTGTGATTACACCTCCTTGTTCATAATAATATCTATATCACTTAATAAATAGTTGACACATTTACAAACGTGATGAAAATCCATTTCTCTATGGGTTACATGTTTTATCCACACATTACATACAATTAACATAAAGAATACCTTTATCCCCAAGAATGACAGACCATTTAGCTTTCGAGTTTGAACATGTAGAACTCTTACATTTTCATGATGCTCAAAATTTGTGGTCTTATGAAAAAACTTTTTTGTTTTCACTCCTGATGTGATGAAAAAGTAACGCCTATAAAATTTACTATTACCAAAAAAGTTTTATACTTTATTCTCTTGTATTTATAAAAAAAAATTGTGGATAAATAAAAATCAATGGAAATAAAAATCCATGGAAATAAATACCATCGAAATGAATTTATGTTTATACAGATAAAACCAATTTTTCTGCATCCTTTTTGGTTTTTACCTTCCATAGCACAATCCAATTGTAGCCTTACCTTGCTGTGCTGAAATTTGAATGATATGCTGTCGGATTTCTTGTGTGCCAAAGAATCAGGATGTATCTCAGGAGGAACCACGACTGTGTCTTCATTGCCCCAAAAAGTGTACTGACAGAACACAAAGTTGGATAGGGCAGGAGGCAGCCCCTTGGCTCCAGATATACAGATCTGAACATAGAATACAGTAAACATTTAAACAAGCTGGATAGAAAGGGTGGGCTGAGATTAATTACCAAAAGAAGAAATAACTGAAAAATTAATCCAAACCATCATTGCAGTCCCAATCCCCATTTGGTGGAGCAAGATCAAAGACCAAAGTAGAAATTATTGATAGATTTACCATAGGATATCCAGTCCCCACTTGGTGGAGAGAGATAAAAAAATACTAAAAGGGGAGATAACTGATTAATCTACCCTAACAACCATCAAATATCCAGTTTCCACTTGGTGGAGAAAGATGAAAAATACTAAAAGGGGAGATAACTGATGAATCTACCCTAGCAACCATCAAATATCCAGTTTCTAATGTGTGGAGAAAGATTGAATACTAAAAGGGGAGGTAACTGATAAATCTACCCTAATAACCATCAGATATCCAGTCCCTACCGTGTGGAGAAAGATTAAACACTAAAAGGGGAGGTAACTGATATATTTACCCTAATAACCATCAGATATCCAGTCCCTACATTGTGGAGAAAGATTAAATACCAAAAGGGGAGGTAACTGATATATTTACCCTAACTATCATTGGCGATCCTATCCCTACTGGGTCAGGCTCTGCGGTTTCCTCTCCATCATCGTTTGTATCAGCATATCTATCCAGGAATGATCCTCCTAATTTGGAGATCTCTACATGTAGTTTTCCAGCAATCTGTAGAAATAAACATTTTGAATTTTTGTATATTTATCAGACATCAACCAAAGTGAACTTAATCTCTGTGCATATCACTCTATAAGCAGATATTGGGAGTCAGACAATGATACACTAAAACACTCCTATTACATACAAACTATTCCTTGTATTACATGTAATTAAAAACCCTAATTCAGCTCCTGAAAGAAGTAGGTAACCAAAAGTATACAAATGACCACATTATGATATACCTCTCCACTATCACCTGAAACACTAACACATATTGTTGGTAACTGCAGGCCAATCAAAACAATGGAGACGTGAACCAAAGTGTTGCAGTGTGATAAAAAAGTTCACAGCCCTGAATATATTTGATGGTCACAACATTGCTTTATAATGAATTACTACCATACAAAATTTGGTAATTGTATATAAGACAGTACCTATATTTGAAACAAATTCCTTATATTACAGCAAATTCTGACTCCCATCCCTATCTCTAACTTGGAGTTCTGAAGCTTAACAACTTACTTAAGTTCACTTGTGTGCAGAATAAAGGATTTTACTTTTTGATAAATAAATGCATAGTATACTAAGTGAGTGAAAACTCTAAATGAACATATACCCTTACTTATAATCTCAACATGATGTGTAACTAAACAATAATAGCTGCAGATCCCTAGAATACTTGTGTGATACCTAGAATACTAACACAAAGACAGACTTACCTCCCCTTGCTGACTGATGATTGGCACTTGATAGTCGAGCTTCACATCATGGAAGAGACATTCAAGGAAGACATTGGCTACACCAATGAGGTTGTGGTTCTCCTGCGACTCATAAAAGGGATCGCCTTTTACAGGTGGTCCATCATCCTGTTGATTGCATCAAAGATAGTACAAGTTCTCACAACATCATTTTTATCATATTTTTTTTAATCTTAACTCTAAGGTGCACACTTCATTGATCATTCTTTAAACCATTAAATATACCAGTAAGTAGAAGAGATGCTCTAAGGCGGGACACAAGATTCTGAATGATAACCTGAATTCCATTTACTTAATGATATTGTATCAATTCATTACAAAGTCATTTGAACGTTTTACAAAATTTGACTTTCGAGGCCGTGACAATGAATCAAAGTTTTTTCTCTTTACAACTTTGTCAGGCTTCATCTGAAGAGGCTTCTTGTCAATAATGATGAATAGTCGCCGCTTGGTTTAGAAACGTTTATTAAATGAAAGTTAATACCAGGAAATAGACGATGGATACTACACCATAACATAAACTGTCTTGGCCCTTCGAGCCAAGTGGGTCAAAATCACACAGAGAACAACACCCCTTAATTACAGTCCTAATAAAATTCTCTACAAATGTCTAACTTACATAGCTGTGTAAAACAAAACCATAGGCAAAGAAAAAAAAAAAACTAATTTGGCATGCTCTATGAAATCCTAAAACTTTACATTTATTTTCTAAATCGATTCATCATTCTATCATCAACACTGTATAGTAAAATGTTTTTAGACTAAAAGTGCAGGATTAGAATTAGGTCTTTATTACAATTTCTGTAAATCACGATAAAACTCAAAGTAAAATAATGAAATAATTTCTTGTATGTGATAAAAAAAAAGTATTCAAATGAAAGGTTCAGTGATTAAACATTAAAAAAAGGTTCAATAACAGCAGAATCAGTAACAGAACTGGAGATAACTATCGCAATCAACATTCATGATTGACAGGAGCTCAATCAAAACAAAGCCATGCCATCGCATTTTTCTGCCAAAACTCATTCTCCATTGCTCCATTGGGATGAACATGAAAACAAATGTTTGACTTTTGACATCAAATACATTTATTTTCAATGAAATTTTCCTGTTTTTTTCCACTCAAATATCTATTCTTTCCTTTTTTATATCATAATGATGAATCCTTAAGACTTTTTACAAAACCCATTATACACCATATAGATCTATGCATCTCTATCAAACAGCCAACATATCAACATCCTTAACTGTAGAATGATGAAAAACTTCATCAAAATTATCAGTTTTATCATAAATAACTAAAAAAATGAAAAACACAACTCTTAAAAGAATTGCTGTGTATAATGTACTGTCATAAAGATACTCACAAAAACAATTCTCAATTTTAAATGAATATTTAATTAGAAATTGTGATAAGAGTAATTACGTGAATCAGTGGTTCGTAATTAAAGAACAATCAATAATAAATATGTGAATGTCAATTTCAATCTGTCATTCCCACGATGCATTATGAGGATAATAAAGTGTTATATGTGTGTTTTTTCAAAAATAGTGAAACAATAAAGTAATTTCATTTCAAAGCTAAATTCTGAGTTAAAAACCACTCATTTTGAAAAGTCTAAAGAGTTTTAATGTAACTGATTGACACTCTAACAAGAATGACGTAAAATCAAATGGTAATTACCAATTAAAGAGAAGTAACTCTTGACAATCAAGATTATTAATGTAAGGTGACATACAGCCTTAAGTACATGACAGTAGTACACAGCAATTCCTTTATTGCACACAAGGATTGCTTACCCAGCTATATTCATACCATAAGCCATAGTGATTTACTTATTAATCCTGAAATAAGTCTTGGGGGCTAAAACATATCAAAGTAGGGAGCGTGAATATTGAACCACAATGAAATAGCATCAGCAGCTTTTTAATGAATTTTGATTGATCATTTTTTATTCTAGCCTATGTAACCTTGGATCATTCTAATATCCCAAATTTACTGCCCTTCATATCTACTCTGCCAGGCTGAGAATGCATCTAATGTACTGTAAAGTGTCTAATGTGACCTTTTGACCTTTGACTTGGACATCTATTGATACAGAAAAAAGAACATTGATATAATACTATGTGGTTTATACAAACCAAATATTTTGAGACTGAGGTTCTCAGTATATGACAATGATTTGGAATATGGGAAAGATTAAATCGTGAAGAGACACACATGGTAACACTTTATCATAACCCACCTTTCCTACGAAATGTTGGGACATAACCCATCTCTTCTATAAAATATTGGGACATAGCCCACCTCTCCTTCTACAAAATGTGGGGACATAACCCACCTCCCCTTCTACAAAATGTGGGGACATAACCCACCTCTCCTTCTACAAAATGTGGGGACATAACCCACCTCCCCTTCTACAAAATGTGGGGACATAACCCACCTCCCCTTCTACAAAATGTGGGGACATAACCCACCTCCCACAAAATGTGGGGACATAACCCACCTCCCCTTCCACAAAATGTGGGGACATAACCCACCTCCCCTTCTACAAAATGTTGGGACATAATCTACCTCTCCTTCTACAAATGTTGGGACATAACCCACCTCCCCTTCTACAAAATGTTGGGACATAACCCACCTCTCCTTCTACAAAATGTTGGGACATAACCCACCTCTCCTTCTACAAAATGTGGGGACATAACCCACCTCTCCTTCTACAAAATGTTGGGACATAACCCACCTCTCCTTCTACAAAATGTTGGGACATAACCCACCTCTCCTTCTACAAAATGTGGGGACATAACCCACCTCTCCTTCTACAAAATGTTGGGACATAACCCACCTCTCCTTCTACAAAATGTTGGGACATAACCCACCTCTCCTTCTACAAAATGTTGGGACATAAACCACCTCTCCTTCTACAAAATGTGGGGACATAACCCTCTCCTTCTCCAAAATGTGGGGACATAACCACCTCTCCTTCTACAAAATGTTGGGACATAACCCACCTCTCCTTCTACAAAATGTTGGGACATAACCCACCTCTCCTTCTACAAAATGTGGGGACATAACCCACCTCTCCTTCTACAAAATGTTGGGACATAACCCACCTCTCCTTCTACAAAATGTTGGGACATAACCCACCTCTCCTTCTACAAAATGTGGGGACATAACCCACCTCTCCTTCTACAAAATGTTGGCACATAACCCACCTCTCCTTCTACAAAATGTTGGGACATAACCCACCTCTCCTTCTACAAAATGTGGGGACATAACCCACCTCTCCTTCTACAAAATGTTGGGACATAACCCACCTCTCCTTCTACAAAATGTTGGGACATAACCCACCTCCCCTTCTACAAAATGTTGGGACATAATCTACCTCTCCTTCTACAAAATGTGGGGACATAACCCACCTCCCCTTCTGCAATATGTTGAGAAATAACTACTTTTGGCTGATAAAAAAAATTTAGAAAAATGTCGTCAGTTTTCAACAGGTAATACTATGGTCTGTGGCTTTAGTGTTATCTTTTATGTATTTATTTGTTTTTTACCTTTATCAGAAAGTTTTAATGGATTAGTGATATCTATCAAAGAAAAAAAAGATTGAAAATTTCAAACAAAGATGGCTTTAGGATGACTTTGATGAACAGCTCTGGGTAGACAATACTCAAACAAGCCATGCAGTGTGGCCACTGAAGCAGACAATAACAAACCCAGGGTTCAGAATCGTGCTCGTCCTCTACCATCATTGGAAGTCCTGTGGCTTTCCTCTCCTCGTACATGTCACGCATATCTATTATCTTATTTTCAAACTTTTCCATGGACCAGATCTGGTTTCCCCGTCCCTTTCGTTTGACAAGGATGGCTGGTTCACTCACAAAAGCCCCTCTCTGCAGAAAAATCAAGTAAAAAGAAGAAATTGGTTTTCAGTTCTTCAAACTCATTTTTCAAAGAAAAGAATATGGTAACTTACTCCAATAAAAAATTCACTTACAGTATCAAAGTATTTACAAAACATCAAAGACGTCAGACAAAAATACGTATTGGAAATACAGACGATAAATCAGGCTTAGCCTTAAAGATGAAAATTTTGATTATTCACAACATGTAACTTTTTGAATATAACATTAAATGCTTCAACATTTACAAGAACATTCTGCGCTCGGAAAGCATTAAAGAGCAGCATCGCATGAATCTTAACCTGCTGCAGTAATCATTAGAGTTTAAATCCTGATGAATATCAAATTTATAAACTTTATCAAATTAAAGAAAGAATTTACAATGAAATGAAACTTGTCGTTTACATCTCTAATCTGCAAATAAAAATGGACTAAAATTTAATCCAAATACTGACTAGTTACTGCCCCTACATGTAACTCTCCTAACAAGATGAGTGATATAGAAGACTAGTTACTGCCCCTACATGTAACTCTCCTAACAAGATGAGAGATATAGAAGACTAGTTACTGCCCCTACATGTAACTCTCCTAACAAGATGAGTGATATAGAAGACTAGTTACTGCCCCTACATGTAACTCTCCTAACAAGATGAGTGATATAGAAGACTAGTTACTGCCCCTACATGTAACTCTCCTAACAAGATGAGTGATATGATATACTGACATGTAACTCTCCTAACAAGATGAGTGATATAGAAGACTAGTTACTGCCCCTACATGTAACTCTCCTAACAAGATGAGAGATATAGAAGACATTATACCATCCTACAACCCATATTAATAACACTTTCAAAAGAAAATCAATTATGTAATAAATTGCCCAATCTTGTTTTAGCACAAAAAATGTCAACTAACTTAACATTTTCCTCATGAAATTGTAAAAGATTTCAGTTTGTTTATGTCACCTGATAATTTCTCCTAAAGTTGGAGGCATCACAGCACACTGCAGCAGAATTTATGTTTTACGAGGCCATGAAGGATTCAAATGTGAGAAGTAAGTCCATTTCCGCCTCTCAATCACCATTACATTTATTTCAGATGAAGGTGAAGGCTGCATGTTATGATAACGATACTACCTTATCTGGCATCGTATGTTACTATCAGTTTCCATCAATTTGTTTTTACAATTTTAACAAACAGCACAAGTCATCAATGATCAAGTGTTTTTCTTAGTCTTCTTTTGATCAAACATCTGTAGGAACTACAATTTTCTTCTAGATGTATTTACAAGATAACAAGACTTTGTATCTAAGACACGTTTACAAGATAACAAGACTTTGTATCTAAGACACGTTTACAAGTTAAGAAGACTTTGTATCTAAGACATGTTTACAAGTTAACAAGACATTGTATCTAAGACACGTTTACAAGTTAACAAGACTTTGTATCTAAGACATGTTTACAAGTTAACAAGACATTGTATCTAAGACATGTTGAATTAACAATATGTCTTTCAAATATTTCCCTGATGCCAAACAATAATCAAATCAAAATGGATTTCACCTTAAAACGTATCATTCTAAACCTCTCTGCCAAGTGCTATCTCAAACCAAAGGATTTGTTAACCTCATAAAAAACACACAGCTTTCTGTTCTCTTATAAATAGAGAAGGACAGCTGAGAAATAAATGCTTGCAGTTCTGATATTGGGCATGTTTAAAAGTCAGCAAACTGGATTCCAACAGAATTTGAAACATTACAACTGAGAAATGACAGAAGACATTTTAACCTGATAACCAAACACAGTGTATATTGTCATATACCCATAAAACTTCAAATAAAAAAAAAGCAAAAAAACTAAACCTATTTGTTACCATAATTTTGTTTACCTTCAACATTAAACAATTCCCAGGCACCTGATCATTTGTTTATTTATTTATTTTCTTCACTGCATAAACAAACAAAAAATTAAAGACTGGTAAAGATTGTGATACTTTTCTTTAAATAACATGTCAAATTGTCTCCGTTTTAAGAAAAAATAGTTTTAAAACTACACAGGCCAAATGCTCTAAAATATCTGAATGTGAATATGTGAACTGAGGAAGTATTTGTTTTGTACTTTTATGATTAAGTCTTTGTATCCTGTGACTAGACTGTTTACACACAATATGTTAGATGTGTTACAACAACACAGTCTTCGCGTGACAACAGTTTCCTGTTCCAACCCAGGAATTCTTATCAATCTGCTAAATCTTCACAGCTCACTACAAATTTAATCTGTGTGATGTTTTGTGGTTAAAACAGAAGTTTTTATCAAACTCAGTACCAGTGGGAATCTACAGTGACAATCGAAATATCTCTCTGGTGATATTATCTATCGTTTTTACCACTAAAAAGTTCAGTACAAACGCAATGTAGCTCAGAAATTGGAACAAAACAGATTGGAGAGATTTTGGAGTCCATCATTACAACAGACAGGAGTAAACTACAGCATTGTTATGATTAAATCATTCTTTACCATATCAATATTGAAAACATTTTACAGGGAAGGAACACAGAATTTATTCTTTAAGAAGATATCCATTGACTTTAAACCTCCATTACTTTCTGTTAATCCTTAAAATGAAACTTTATAATGTCATACATTAAGTTTGCTGTATAAAATGTGACCTTTGCATCCTTGCTGACTTAAATATACATAGACTGCCACTAATTCAAACATGAAAACAAATGGGTTAAATCTACCACAAACTAGAGAACCAATCACTATTAAATCTACCACAAACGAGATAACCAACCACTGTTGAATCTACCACAAACTAGATAACCAACCACTGTTGAACCTACCACAAACTAGAGAACCAATCACTGTTGAACCTACCACAAACTAGAGAACCAATCACTGTTGAACCTACCACAAACTAGAGAACCAATCACTGTTAAACCTACCACAAACTAGAGAACCAATCACTGTTAAACCTACCACAAACTAGAGAACCAATCACTGTTAAACCTACCACAAACTAGAGAACCAATCACTGTTAAACCTACCACAAACTAGATAACCAACCACTGTTGAATCTACCACAAACTAGAGAACCAATCACTGTTGAATCTACCACAAACTAGAGAACCAATTAGGAGACTTAAAATGTCTATATTTTTGTGAAACAGCATTAGTAATACTCCAGATGACATTCGTATCAATCTGTCAAAGTTTTTGTGGTATGTCCTTGATCTTGCTTCACAATCTGTTATTTTTCAACCTGGAATTCTTATATCTAGGCTGACAGATGGAGCTAGACAGTTTCTTGGTTACAAAGAATTGTGATTTGTTGTAGGGATAACAGTCAGGATATGTCCTTCAGATTATAAATTAATTCCAGGAAATTTCTGTTATGAAATTTTACAGATTGTTCTGGAAACCATCTGCCATTAAAACATAGGGTTTTATCCATTGGCTAGGAAAAGATTGATCAAACTTACAGAGATGTGTAACTGTAGGCAAGGGAATGATTTATCATGATAACCAAAAAAACTGTAGGTTCACAAATAGTCCATCATATAGCCACAATGATTTAGCTGTTGTTTATGAAACTATGAGTTATGTTAACATAGAGACTTACCTGTTGTTTATGAAACTATGAGTTATAGTAACATAGACACTTACCTGTTGTTTATGAAACTATGAGTTATAGTAACATAGAGACTTACCTGTTGCTTATGAAACTATCAGTTATAGTAATGTAAGACTCACCCGTCGGTTAGGACTGAGGTTGGCTGCTGGTATTTGTAGAGTAACTTGAAATTCTGTAAGTTTGCCCATTTCCTGTGCCAGGACATTAGCTTCCCTCACTAGGGAGTTTGCCTTGACGACTTCATCTCTGAGAATAGCCAGACTCTGCTTGATTGATTTGTCCCTGAAAAAAGAATTAAAATATTGTTAAATATTGACTAAATCTTCATATTTTTTATCTTCTAAACAAGACCTAAATTAAACAATGTCCACAATTCTGTGCATTGATTTGTTCTGAGAAGCAGACATAAGGAACTGTTTTACTGATGTTGAAGGTTTTCAAAATTCAAAATATTTCTGACATCACAGTAAGTATATCTTGGTTTGACATAATTAATCTTGCTACTTTAAATAGATAGCCATTTTTATTAGCCTTTTCTGGTTTCTGGTTGTAGACAGCGTATTTGGGTGAAGATAAGATCATGTTTTCCTACCCTAGTCCGTCAGGGCATACTTGGGTGATGAGAAAATGTCTGCCTACCCTAGTCCATCAGGGCATACATGGGTGATGAGAAAATGTCTTCCTACCCTAGTCCATCAGGGCGTACATGGGTGATGAGAAAATGTCTTCCTACCCTAGTCTGTCAGGGCATACTTGGGTGATGAGAAAATGTCTTCCTACCCTAGTCTGTCAGGGCGTACTTGGGTGATGAGAAAATGTATTCCTACCCTAGTCTGTCAGGGCGTACTTGGGTGATGAGAAAATGTCTTCCTACCCTAGTCTGTCAGGGTGTACTTGGGTGATGAGAAAATGTTTTCCTACCCAAATGTTGTCATGATTAGGGCACACTCCGGTAATACATGTCTAGTTACAGTGTTCAAATGACCCTAAATCCATCTCAATGACTCTTAAAATATTGATGAATCCATTAATGTTCTTCTTGTGAGGGTTTCTCCCAATCACAGAAGGAATACTTACAGCGGTAGGATAATAATAAGACTATATTAATGCTGGTCACATACGAGTTGCCTGATAAAACGAAAGCCTCGCTCTAACAACAAAATCCCTATGTTCCACCAGTGATCCTGAAACTTGATGGTGACTATGTGACCACATTCTAGGTTTACGTGTATTTGAGGGGCTTGGTAACACTGCTTTATAATGGAAGGATGTCCAATCTGGGAGGTATCAAATCACTGGGATAGTTTGTCTATGTGATCTTAACTAATCCTCATTACTAAAAACAAGCTAACACTAACAACCTCACAAAATCTTAATTCAGACTCAAAATGAATGAAATGACCGAGAAATCATGAAGAAAGGAAAGATTAATACAGAGACATTTGAAAGTACGAGAAGAATCAGAACAGGTTGACGGATCATGAAACAGTCCTTGACTTAATTTTAGCCAAGTCAAACATATATGGGTAACATTATTTGGTAACATTATTTGTGATTGGCTTTTTCAAAATGTAAGATAATTATCGACTTGAATTTTTTCATGATCATACAGCCAGAGTTCTTCACCGATGACACTTGCCATGTAAACCTTGGTATCAATGTCATGTTCTCAAATTAAGAATCAAGACCATATGTTTCATAGAGAAAACAGACAATATTTTAGAGTAAACTTTGAGCAAACTCTTTGGTTTTTTTTAAGAAAATAGATGACAATTTATAGTAAATCTTAGGTTTCCACTTAGTGTTTCCTTCAGGGAACAGACAACAATTTACAGTAAACATTGGGTAAACTTCTGTGTTTCCTTCAGGGAACAGACAACAATTTACAGTAAACATTGGGTAAACTTCTGTGTTTCCTTCAGGGAACAGACAACAATTTACAGTAAACATTGGGTAAACTTCTGTGTTTCCTTCAGGGAACAGACAACAATTTACAGTAAACATTGGGTAAACTTCTGTGTTTCCTTCAGGGAACAGACAACAATTTACAGTAAACATTGGGTAAACTTCTGTGTTTCCTTCAGGGAACAGAAAACATTGGGTAAACTTCTGTGTTTCCTTCAGGGAACAGACAACAATTTACAGTAAACATTGGGTAAACTTCTGTGTTTCCTTCAGGGAACAGACAACAATTTACAGTAAACATTGGGTAAACTTCTGTGTTTCCTTCAGGGAACAGACAACAATTTACAGTAAACATTGGGTAAACTTCTGTGTTTCCTTCAGGGAACAGACAACAATTTACAGTAAACATTGGGTAAACTTCTGTGTTTCCTTCAGGGAACAGACAACAATTTACAGTAAACATTGGGTAAACTTCTGTGTTTCCTTCAGGGAACAGACAACAATTTACAGTAAACATTGGGTAAACTTCTGTGTTTCCTTCAGGGAACAGACAACAATTTACAGTAAACATTGGGTAAACTTCTGTGTTTCCTTCAGGGAACAGACAACAATTTACAGTAAACATTGGGTAAACTTCTGTGTTTCCTTCAGGGAACAGACAACAATTTACAGTAAACATTGGGTAAACTTCTGTGTTTCCTCCAGGGAACAGACAACAATTTACAGTAAACATTGGGTAAACTTCTGTGTTTCCTTCAGGGAACAGACAACAATTTACAGTAAACATTGGGTAAACTTCTGTGTTTCCTTCAGGGAACAGACAACAATTTACAGTAAACATTGGGTAAACTTCTGTGTTTCCTTCAGGGAACAGACAACAATTTACAGTAAACATTGGGTAAACTTCTGTGTTTCCTTCAGGGAACAGACAACAATTTACAGTAAACATTGGGTAAACTTCTGTGTTTCCTTCAGGGAACAGACAACAATTTACAGTAAACATTGGGTAAACTTCTGTGTTTCCTTCAGGGAACAGACAACAATTTACAGTAAACATTGGGTAAACTTCTGTGTTTCCTTCAGGGACCAGACAACAATTTACAGTAAACATTGGGTAAACAACAATTTACAGTAAACATTGGGTAAACTTCTGTGTTTCCTTCAGGGAACAGACAACAATTTACAGTAAACATTGGGTAAACTTCTGTGTTTCCTTCAGGGAACAGACAACAATTTACAGTAAACATTGGGTAAACTTCTGTGTTTCCTTCAGGGAACAGACAACAATTTACAGTAAACATTGGGTAAACTTCTGTGTTTCCTTCAGGGAACAGACAACAATTTACAGTAAACATTGGGTAAACTTCTGTGTTTCCTTCAGGGAACAGACAACAATTTACAGTAAACATTGGGTAAACTTCTGTGTTTCCTTCAGGGAACAGACAACAATTTACAGTAAACATTGGGTAAACTTCTGTGTTTCCTTCAGGGAACAGACAACAATTTACAGTAAACATTGGGTAAACTTCTGTGTTTCCTTCAGGGAACAGACAACAATTTACAGTAAACATTGGGTAAACTTCTGTGTTTCCTTCAGGGAACAGTCAACAAACATTGGGTAAACTTCTGTGTTTCCTTCAGGGAACAGACAACAATTTACAGTAAACATTGGGTAAACTTCTGTGTTTCCTTCAGGGAACAGACAACAATTTACAGTAAACATTGGGTAAACTTCTGTGTTTCCTTCAGGGAACAGACAACAATTTACAGTAAACATTGGGTAAACTTCTGTGTTTCCTTCAGGGAACAGACAACAATTTACAGTAAACATTGGGTAAACTTCTGTGTTTCCTTCAGGGAACAGACAACAATTTACAGTAAACATTGGGTAAACTTCTGTGTTTCCTTCAGGGAACAGACAACAATTTACAGTAAACATTGGGTAAACTTCTGTGTTTCCTTCAGGGAACAGACAACAATTTACAGTAAACATTGGGTAAACTTCTGTGTTTCCTTCAGGGAACAGACAACAATTTACAGTAAACATTGGGTAAACTTCTGTGTTTCCTTCAGGGAACAGACAACAATTTACAGTAAACATTGGGTAAACTTCTGTGTTTCCTTCAGGGAACAGACAACAATTTACAGTAAACATTGGGTAAACTTCTGTGTTTCCTTCAGGGAACAGACAACAATTTACAGTAAACATTGGGTAAACTTCTGTGTTTCCTTCAGGGAACAGACAACAATTTACAGTAAACATTGGGTAAACTTCTGTGTTTCCTTCAGGGAACAGACAACAATTTACAGTAAACATTGGGTAAACTTAAACTGTGTTTCCTTCAGGGAACAGACAACAATTTACAGTAAACATTGGGTAAACTTCTGTGTTTCCTTCAGGGAACAGACAACAATTTACAGTAAACATTGGGTAAACTTCTGTGTTTCCTTCAGGGAACAGACAACAATTTACAGTAAACATTGGGTAAACTTCTGTGTTTCCTTCAGGGAACAGACAACAATTTACAGTAAACATTGGGTAAACTTCTGTGTTTCCTTCAGGGAACAGACAACAATTTACAGTAAACATTGGGTAAACTTCTGTGTTTCCTTCAGGGAACAGACAACAATTTACAGTAAACATTGGGTAAACTTCTGTGTTTCCTTCAGGGAACAGACAACAATTTACAGTAAACCTTGGGTAAACTTCTGTGTTTCCTTCAGGGAACAGACAACAATTTACAGTAAACATTGGGTAAACTTCTGTGTTTCCTTCAGGGAACAGACAACAATTTACAGTAAACATTGGGTAAACTTCTGTGTTTCCTTCAGGGAACAGACAACAATTTACAGTAAACATTGGGTAAACTTCTGTGTTTCCTTCAGGGAACAGACAACAATTTACAGTAAACATTGGGTAAACTTCTGTGTTTCCTTCAGGGAACAGACAACAATTTACAGTAAACATTGGGTAAACTTCTGTGTTTCCTTCAGGGAACAGACAACAATTTACAGTAAACATTGGGTAAACTTCTGTGTTTCCTTCAGGGAACAGACAACAATTTACAGTAAACATTGGGTAAACTTCTGTGTTTCCTTCAGGGAACAGACAACAATTTACAGTAAACATTGGGTAAACTTCTGTGTTTCCTTCAGGGAACAGACAACAATTTACAGTAAACATTGGGTAAACTTCTGTGTTTCCTTCAGGGAACAGACAACAATTTACAGTAAACATTGGGTAAACTTCTGTGTTTCCTTCAGGGAACAGACAACAATTTACAGTAAACATTGGGTAAACTTCTGTGTTTCCTTCAGGGAACAGACAACAATTTACAGTAAACATTGGGTAAACTTCTGTGTTTCCTTCAGGGAACAGACAACAATTTACAGTAAACATTGGGTAAACTTCTGTGTTTCCTTCAGGGAACAGACAACAATTTACAGTAAACATTGGGTAAACTTCTGTGTTTCCTTCAGGGAACAGACAACAATTTACAGTAAACATTGGGTAAACTTCTGTGTTTCCTTCAGGGAACAGACAACAATTTACAGTAAACATTGGGTAAACTTCTGTGTTTCCTTCAGGGAACAGACAACAATTTACAGTAAACATTGGGTAAACTTCTGTGTTTCCTTCAGGGAACAGACAACAATTTACAGTAAACTTTGGGTAAAATCTTATGTTTTATAAAAAAAAAAACAGATGAAGCAAACTTTGGGTAAATTTTTCGTAGAAGATAATAATTTGTTACTTGGGTGCCTGAGTGAATGCGTGATACAAAAGACTAAAGTACCCACTAGTGCTGGCGTGTCAGAACACATAAACATACATAAGAAATTATCTAAAGAGAGTTATTTGGCTACGGGTTTTGTGAACTAATTCAATCACCCTGGCTAATGTATTGGACATTTCACCGTGAGGACCTCTCCGTATGTATCTCGAGGCAGACACTGAGATGATAACTAGGCCATGTATTGATGTTACCATACAACCCTGTTCTCCAGACTCATGGTGTTGACAACTATAAGATGCCGTGAGATCTAATTATTAGCTCTACTTTCTCTCATCATCAGAATTCAGGGATGCAAATAAATGCAAAAATCATTCTTCAGACAAAAATAAATTCTAAACCAGTGAACAGAATGAACAGAATAAATGTCCTCAAACTTTCTAGTACACTGAAAGTAGATCTGTACAATGGTTTTACTGCAGAGTTACTGCTCTTCAATAATGAAAGCATTTACTGAAATTACTGGTTTTGACGGCAAATGAGGACATGTATCTTGACAAAATAAACCTGATATGTGTTATTGCAATTATTATTTAAAAGTTCATGAACAATTCTGAAATCTGTGACATTATATAGTACCATCCCAACTACATAGCCTGGAAATTAATTCATAGTTAAAGATTTCCCCGATACCTCCTACAGATAATATTTGTAAACTTTTCCCCACAACAGTAGCTGGTCTACAGTCAGAATTGTCATCATCCCCGCTGGTCTACAATGAGCATTGATATCCCCGCTATCTACAATCAATGGATCATCATCCCCGCTATCTACAGTCAGAATTGTCATCATCCCCGCTGAAGTCTACAATCAGAATTGTCATAAAATGTGTACAATCAGCATTGTCATTATCCCCGCAGGTCTACAGTCAGAATGGTCATCATCCCCGCTGGTCTACAGTCAGAATTGTCATCATCCCCGCTGGTCTACAGTCAGAATGGTCATCATCCCCGCTGGTCTACAATCAGAATTGTCATCATCCCCGCTGGTCTACAATCAGAATTGTCATCATCCCCACAGGTCTACAATCAGCATTGTCATTATCCCCGCTGGTCTACAGTCAGAATGGTCATCATCCCCGCTGGTCTACAGTCAGAATTGTCATCATCCCCACAGGTCTACAGTCAGAATTGTCATCATCCCCACAGGTCTACAATCAGAATTGTCATCATCCCCACAGGTCTACAATCAGAATTGTCATCATCCCCGCTGGTCTACAGTCAGAATTGTCATCATCCCGGCTGGTCTACAATCAGAATTGTCATCATCCCGGCTGGTCTACAATCAGAATTGTCATCATCCCCACAGGTCTACAATCAGAATTGTCATCATCCCCACAGGTCTACAATCAGAATTGTCATCATCCCCACAGGTCTACAATGTTGGGTGATGATGATATAAAGCCAAAACAAAAGAAAATTTAGTTACCAAAGCTATGTCTTTAATTTTTCTAATCCTCCATCTCATTACAGTTTGAGACAATAACTCTTACAGCAAACTTCATTGTCTTTCTTTTGATAAGTAGCAATCCAAAAATTATTGAACTGCTTTCAAAATACGCTACACCACAAAAAACATCTGACTATAAATACTTTCAGGGTTATTTTTTCTAACTTGAGTGAGATCTTACTAAGAAGCTGTTTTCCATGATGCAGATGGTAGTTTTGGTGAGGAGTAGGTAAATGTAGGTAACAAAAGGTCCAAGGGGCCTTATTGGTCATCTGACTACAAAAACTTTCAGCAGGGAGAAGGGTAATTTTTTCTAGTAGGTAACTATTGTAACCGTTAACTAGTGAAACTTGAGAAGAGGTTAGAAACTGGTGTTGCAAAGGAAAACCATGATTGCACAATCATGTTACAAAATGGCCTCCCTGGCTGCAGCATTGGAAGTTTTCACAAGGTCGAAAATTAACAACACTTTGTTGGCTACCTTTCCTTAATATTCTCACCAATAACTGAGGCCAAGCAGCAAACAAACAAATCACTATTTGGTTCCATCCTAGAAAAATGATAACCTCTACAATAAGTGACCTTGCAGTGAAAATGGATTAAAACTAATCACTGATCACTGCCCCATCAATCAACCAATCACTGATAACTACTCCATCAAACAACCAATCACTGATCACTGCCCTATCAATCAACCAATCACTGATTACTGCCCCATCAATCAACCAATCACTGATCACTGCCCCATCAATCAACCAATCACTGATCACTGCCCCATCAATCAACCAATCACTGATCACTGCCCCATCAATCAAACAATCACTAATCACTGCCCCATCAATCAAACAATCACTGATAACTACTCCATCAATCAACCAATCACTGATCACTGCCCTATCAATCAACCAATCACTGATTACTGCCCCATCAATCAACCAATCACCAATCACTGCCCCATCAATCAAACAATCACTGATCACTGCCCCATCAATCAACCAATCACTGATCACTGCCCCATCAATCAACCAATCACCAATCACTGCCCCATCAATCAACCAATCACTGATTACTGCCCCATCAATCAACCAATCACCAATCACTGCCCCATCAATCAAACAATCACTGATCACTGCCCCATCAATCAACCAATCACTGATCACTGCCCCATCAATCAACCAATCACCAATCACTGCCCCATCAATCAACCAATCACTGATCACTGCCCCATCAATCAACCAATCAATCACTGATCACAAACAATCACTGATCACTGCCCCATCAATCAACCAATCACTGATCACTGCCCCATCAATCAACCAATCACTGATAACTACTCCATCAATCAACCAATCACTGATCACTGCCCCATCAATCAACCAATCACCAATCACTGCCCCATCAATCAAACAATCACTGATCACTGTCCCATCAATCAACCAATCACTAATCACTGCCCCATCAATCAACCAATCACTAATCACTGCCCCATCAATCAAACAATCACTGCCTCATCAATCAACCAATCACTAATCATCACCCAATCAATCAACCAATCACTGATCACAGATAAATGGGCTGTATCTTTAGTGCTATTCAACCATCAGTGCCTTTCAGGAAGAAAATAACTAAGCTGTACCTTTGCTGTGCCCACTCCTGGTACTTCCTCTGAATACTGCTCTGGGCAGATATGGACCCCGTAGGGGTCAGCATATTTGGGCTCATGGGAAGAAAGGGCATGGATGGAGTCCCTGGGGACATCAGCCGACTTTTTAGAATTTGCATCTGTCGCTCATAGCTCTGTTTCTGCTTCTCTAGGGCCTCTGTTGACAGACATATTATACAAATCCAGTTATGTATGACCTTGAACTCATCATTACACTACTAACTTCTGACTGTAAAGATTATCAAGTTACTAACAAATTTCAAAGGTCAAGCACAGATAATTAGCATTATAAGGATGACATTATTTGCTTCTCTACACATGATTATCAAATACAAATATCACTTGTTTTGCTAATTTACCTAAATCCTAATTCTTAGACCGTTACAATATCAATGTTTGTCTGAGAAAGGACCTATATCACTATAGTTTTGACCTGTTTGTCTATGAAGTGACCTGTATTACTATGGTTACGACCTAGTTACTCTGTGTGATGTGATCTATATCACTATGGAATAGACCTGTTTGTCTATGAAGTGACCTATATTACTATGGAAACGACCTAGTTTCTCTGTGTGATGTGATCTATATCACTGGTTATGACCTGTTTCTCTCTGTGACGTGACCTATATCACTATGGATATGACCTTGTTTTCTCTGTGTGAAATGACCTATATTATTATGGTTATAAATCAGTTTCTCTGTGTGAAATGACATATATCTCTATGGTTATGACCTTGTTTATCTGTGAGACTTTGCCTTTCCTATGTCAATGTCTGAAGGAGAGACTAAATATGATCACCATTTTTTAGAAGTCAGAATCAAGCAGTATCAGAGTTATCTACCTTGTTTATCCTCTTCATACTGTTGTTCTATAGCAATGATTGCCTCTTGTATCGGGTCGTTGGAGAACTCTTTACTCATCAACTCCTGCTGAGCAAAGTTGTAATCTATGGGTTGTTCTGGTTCATTAGACTGGGGACCTGTAACAGTACAAAGTTGTAATCTATGGGTTGTTCTGGTTCATTAGACTGGGGACCTGTAACAGTACAAAGTTGTAATCTATGGGTTGTTCTGGTTCATTAGACTGGGGACCTGTAACAGTACAAAGTTGTAATCTATGGGTTGTTCTGGTTCATTAGACTGGGGACCTGTAACAGTACAAAGTTGTAATCTATGGGTTGTTCTGGTTCATTAGACTGGGGACCTGTAACAGTACAAAGTTGTAATCTATGGGTTGTTCTGGTTCATTAGACTGGGGACCTGTAACAGTACAAAGTTGTAATCTATGGGTTATTCTGGTTCATTAGACTGGGGACCTGTTACAGTACAAAATTGTAATCTATTGCTTGTTCTGGTTCATTAGACAGGGGACCTGTAACAGTACAAAGTTGTAATCTATGGGTTGTTCTGGTCATTAGACTGGGGACCTGTTACAGTACAAAATTGTAATCTATTGCTTGTTCTGGTTCATTAGACAGGGGACCTGTAACAGTACAAAGTTGTAATCTATGGGTTGTTCTGGTCATTAGACTGGGGACCTGTTACAGTACAAAATTGTAATCTATGGGTTATTCTGGTTCATTAGACTGGGGACCTGTAACAGTACAAAGTTGTAATCTATGGGTTGTTCTGGTTCATTAGACTGGGGACCTGTAACAGTACAAAATTGTAATCTATGGGTTATTCTGGTTCATTAGACTGGGGACCTGTAACAGTACAAAGTTGTAATCTATGGGTTGTTCTGGTCATTAGACTGGGGACCTGTAACAGTACAAAGTTGTAATCTATGGGTTGTTCTTGTTCATTAGACAGGGGACCTGTAACAGTACAAAGTTGTTAAATACTGTAATTCTTTATGACAAATAAATGTTTTTTCCTGGTTTATTCTAGTGCAAAGCAATTTTTAACAGACCTTTCCCATTTTGAAATATTCCTTTCCTCAATTCTGGATATGAATTTAAGATTTAGAGATATAACTTTCAATATTGTAACCAGATCAATTAACAATAATTCACAACCTTTCTGATTCAGGACTGAGGTGTTTAATATTTATCATACTGAGGAAAATTTTGTTGGAAACCACATACTCTCTGTTAAGCTTGGGACAGTGGAGACTGTACTTACTGTTAAGTTTGGGACAGTTGAGACGGAAGAAATGGTTGTTCCCCCATAAGATACGGTCACCATGACGAACTCGAGTTTTCTGAACAATCTTGGACCCATTCACACAGGTTCTGAAAATGAAATTAAATAGTTGAAATATTCTTTAAAGAGTTAATATTTCTCAAACTAATTAATTATGCATGCAAGTAGAATCTACAAACTATCTTTGACTTTAAGATGTAGTTGTAATAGTGTCCTGAACTGTAGCTGCTGGTTACCATGAATATTGTCCTTAACAGTTGGAACCGATTGCCATAAATACTGTCCTTAACAGTTGGATCTGGTTGCCATGAATACTGCCCTTAACAGTTGGAACCGGTTGCCATAAATACTGTCCTTAACAATTCAAACTGGTTGCCATGAATATTGTTCTTAACAGCTGGACCGGGTTGTCATCAATACTGTTCTTAACAATTCAATCTGGTTGCCATGAATATTATCCTTAAATGTAGAACCTTGTAGTCATGAATGCTGTCTTAACTGTAGAACCTTGTAGTCTTGAATGATGTCCTTATCTGTAGAACCTTGTAGTCTTGAATGCTCTCCTTAACTGTAGAACCTTGTTGTCATGAATACTGTCCTTAACTGTAGAACCTTGCAGTCTTGAATGCTCTCCTTAACTGTAGAACCTTGTTGTCATGAATGCTCTCCTTAACTGTAGAACCTTGTTGTCATGAATACTGTCCTTAACTGTAGAACCTTGTAGTCTTGAATGCTCTCCTTAACTGTAGAACCTTGTTGTCATGAATACTGTCCTTAACTGTAGAACCTTGTAGTCTTGAATGCTCTCCTTAACTGTAGAACCTTGTTGTCATGAATACTGTCCTTAACTGTAGAACCTTGTAGTCTTGGATGCTGTCCCTAACTTTTGGAGCTTGTTGTCATGAATGCTGTCTTAACTGTAGAACCTTGTTGTCATGAATGATGTCCTTAACTGTAGAACCTTGTTGTCATGAATGCTCTCCTTAACTGTAGAACCTTGCAGTCTTGAATGCTCTCCTTAACTGTAGAACCTTGTTGTCATGAATGCTCTCCTTAACTGTAGAACCTTGCAGTCTTGAATGCTCTCCTTAACTGTAGAACCTTGTTGTCATGAATGCTCTCCTTAACTGTAGAACCTTGCAGTCTTGAATGCTCTCCTTAACTGTAGAACCTTGTTGTCATGAATACTGTCCTTAACTGTAGAACCTTGTTGTCATGAATGCTCTCCTTAACTGTAGAACCTTGCAGTCTTGAATGCTCTCCTTAACTGTAGAACCTTGTTGTCATGAATACTGTCCTTAACTGTAGAACCTTGTAGTCTTGAATGCTCTCCTTAACTGTAGAACCTTGTTGTCATGAATACTGTCCTTAACTGTAGAACCTTGCAGTCTTGAATGCTCTCCTTAACTGTAGAACCTTGTTGTCATGAATACTGTCCTTAACTGTAGAACCTTGTAGTCTTGAATGCTCTCCTTAACTGTAGAACCTTGTTGTCATGAATACTGTCCTTAACTGTAGAACCTTGCAGTCTTGAATGCTCTCCTTAACTGTAGAACCTTGCAGTCTTGAATGCTCTCCTTAACTGTAGAACCTTGTTGTCATGAATACTGTCCTTAACTGTAGAACCTTGTTGTCATGCATGATGTCTTAACTGTAGAACCTTGTTGTCATGAATACTGTCCTTAACTGTAGAACCTTGTAGTCTTGAATGATGTCTTAACTGTAGAACCTTGCAGTCTTGAATGCTCTCCTTAACTGTAGAACCTTGTTGTCATGAATGCTGTCTTAACTGTAGAACCTTGTTGTCATGAATACTGTCCTTAACTGTAGAACCTTGTTGTCATGAATGCTGTCTTAACTGTAGAACCTTGTAGTCTTGAATGCTGTCCTAAACTGTAGAACCTTGTTGTCATGAATGATGTCTTAACTGTAGAACCTTGTTGTCATGAATACTGTCCTTAACTGTAGAACCTTGTAGTCTTGAATGCTCTCCTTAACTGTAGAACCTTGTTGTCATGAATACTGTCCTTAACTGTAGAACCTTGTAGTCTTGAATGCTCTCCTTAACTGTAGAACCTTGTTGTCATGAATGCTGTCCTTAACGGTAGAACCTTGCAGTCTTGAATGCTCTCCTTAACTGTAGAACCTTGTTGTCATGAATACTGTCCTTAACTGTAGAACCTTGTAGTCTTGAATGCTCTCCTTAACTGTAGAACCTTGTTGTCATGAATACTGTCCTTAACTGTAGAACCTTGCAGTCTTGAATGCTCTCCTTAACTGTAGAACCTTGCAGTCTTGAATGCTCTCCTTAACTGTAGAACCTTGTTGTCATGAATACTGTCCTTAACTGTAGAACCTTGTTGTCATGAATGCTGTCTTAACTGTAGAACCTTGTAGTCTTGAATGCTGTCCTTAACTGTAGAACCTTGTTGTCATGGATGCTCTCCTTAACTGTAGAACCTTGCAGTCTTGAATGCTCTCCTTAACTGTAGAACCTTGTTGTCATGAATGCTGTCTTAACTGTAGAACCTTGTTGTCATGAATACTGTCCTTAACTGTAGAACCTTGTTGTCATGAATGCTGTCTTAACTGTAGAACCTTGTTGTCATGAATGCTGTCTTAACTGTAGAACCTTGTAGTCTTGAATGCTGTCCTTAACTGTAGAACCTTGTTGTCATGAATGCTGTCTTAACTGTAGAACCTTGTAGTCTTGAATGATGTCCTTATCTGTAGAACCTTGCAGTCTTGAATGCTCTCCTTAACTGTAGAACCTTGTTGTCATGAATGCTGTCCTTAACTGTAGAACCTTGTAGTCTTGGATGCTGTCCCTAACTTTTGGAGCTTGTTGTCATGAATGATGTCTTTAACTGTAGAATCTGGTTGTTTTTTTATGCTGTCCTTAATTGTAGAACCTTGACTCAAACTTTATGTAAAATCTACCTTTCCTGTGAACTAAGTTACCTTATCCCATCATTTCCTAGTTAAAAAAAAAACTCAATTGTATAATCTGTTCTTCCATTAATGTTCTATAGAAATGAACATCAGTTTTAAACAACAGCAGCACCAGAAGCTGAGCGTGTTCTGATAGGTATCGAATAACTGTAAACCCTTCAGCCGGTGTAGTTAATCAGTGTTACAGTTGTCAAACAATCACACAAGGCTAAATTAAAAATTCTATTGATTCTGAGAAAAATAGAAAAATAATCGGAAAAACAAACTCACAATATAAACTGTCAGACCCATATTGATTAGAACTTTGGAATACAAACACAAAGAATAGTACAATCAAAATACACCTGAGTAGTTTCTAAAACAGACTTATTATGTCATTAATTAGGCTACTGTTAATATTTACATTGTGTGACTTGTTATACACTTTCTGTCCAATTCACGTATATAATGTATCAAACACTGCGTTTATGCTGGTTTTAGAAATGCAAAAATAAAAAAAAATTCATGTCTCAATCTGCACCATTAGCATACAATTTTTACCATATTCCACATTTTTATATCTGCTGTCAAAATTGTTTCAGAGTAAATCAACATGATCTTCAATATTTTCCATAAAAATGACGGTTTTCACTTCTAAATCATGATTCATATTGATAAAGATGGTTTCCAAACTGATAGATGTGTTTGACAAAAAAGTGAGGTTGTCCAATAGAGATAGGTTGGAATAAATGAACAGGGGTTCACAATACCAATTTCCATGAAAAAATACAGGTTTCTGCATATAAAGAAAAAAAACCTTGTGATTGCATCAAAGTGCACATAGAGTGATATTGTAGGAGAAATCCTCTGTGTCTGGTTTGACAGGAGGCCTGTATTACAAATAGTTCTGTACTTGTTTTTATTTTACAGGAGTGCAGAAGTTGAGAGTACAGCTAGCCTTACCAGCCTGGACTAGTGTGAATAGAGGTAAACTGTCTGGCTAAAGATCAAAGGGTCACTGGTTCAAACCCTGCTGGGTGCAGAGTATTTTTACTATTCCTTCAGTGAAGAAAAGGTCATCTCTTGATATAGTTTCAACTAGTGGGAACCTCCCTTTAGCCAATTTCTTGGCATGGAGTTTGCCTACTCCTATAACGGACAATTTCCCTTAAATATATTGCTAATATTTCTTTCCTTGAGTATATAACTTAGAGTTATTTCCCTTGAATATACAACTTTATTTCCCTTAAATATACTGCTTAGAGTTATTTCTCTGAATATATTGCTTAGAGTTATTTCCCTTGAATATATTTCTTAGAGTTATTTCCCTTCAATATATTGCTATGGGTTATTTCCCTTGAATATATTTCTTAGAGTTATTTCCCTTCAATATATTGCTATGGGTTATTTCCCTTGAATACATTGCTAAGAGTTATTTCACTTCAATATATTGGTTATAGATATTTCCTTGACTATTACTTAATCTGATAATGTACACCTGTTTCAAGGAAAATCTATAATAAATCCTTTTATAGAATAATACAACATATTGGACACAAGATTTTATCCTCTCATGTCCCCTAAATTCTACCGAACACAGATATACAAGAGAACAGTCTCAAATCAATACATTTGTATTTAGCTACAATAGGAGTTATTCAGTCATGCTGTAGAATAAATGTTGGTTCCCTGTTACACAAGTTACGATATTATTCAATACTATGCCATGTTTAATAATAAATATGCTAAATTGTCTCAGAGATCTTCCGCATCACCATGTGGTGCCATGTTGCTTTGACATTGCGATAGAAGAACGATCTATTGTGACTTATTGTGACAGTCGACAGAGACGACAAACGTGAGTATATTGGATGGGCTTTATCGCCAACAATAATACTTCCTTATTGGTTTCTGATTCAGCAGCCTTTTAAACCTCTCTGTATGAAACGTTACGATGAATACTAAACAGGTTGGGTCTATACCACCGCAGCCAAAAACAAGATTCATTACAAACCATCTTTCTTGATTTCTTAACAAAAGTTAATAAGAAAATCTAATGCCTCTCACGAATCTCTCAAGATCATAATTGCAAACCATTTTGAGTTCTTCACAAGTCTGATTTTTTTATTCCATCAAGAAAAATTAAAGAAGGAAAAAAGATTCAGTAGTTTGAAAAGAACTTTCTGAGCAATTTTCCAAAGGAATGCTAAACAACTGTTTAAAAAGCATGACATCAATGTGTTGAAGTTAATGATGTTATCACTTTGTGACATTGTTACACTATATAAAGTACTGACCCTACTCTTGTCAGTAGCCTCACAGCACATCTTATCTCATACCTATCGAGGGTAAAATAGAAGTCACCCCCTAGAGGGTAACAGAGAAATCATCCCCTAGAGGGTAACAGAGAAATCAGTCTCTAGAGGGTAACAGAGAAATCATCCCCTAGAGGTAACAGAGAAATGACCCCTTAGAGTGTGACAGAGAATCTTAAACAGATAAAACAGGTGACATATTTGTGAATGAAGGAAGGAAAACTTATCCTACCTGGCCCCTTCAAGTGGTGAAAGGAAAACATCATTGACCTCGATTGTGACAAGGCAATGTTCCGGCTGTATTCCAAGTCCACTTAATTGTATATCCTGTTGGGTTGTTGCATCAGTGCTGCCCACTAGTGTGTGTTCCTGAAACAAAAACAGACAATTCAGGATCATACCTATGGCACATTTAATAATAACATTTTTGTTTAGATCTGAGTTTTCTGATATCTGTATTAAATGTCCAATACTGAGTGAGACAGGAACTAGGAAGTTAAAACGTCCCATACTGAGTGAGACAGGAACTAGGAAGTTAAAACGTCCGATACTGAGTGAGACAGGGACTAGGAAGTTAAAACGTACGATACTGAGTGAGACAGGGACTAGGAAGTTAAAACGTCTAATACTGAGTGAGACAGGGACTAGCTAACTTGGATCATAAGGCAATATAATTTTTTTCATTTAAATCATTGAAGACAACCATGATATTTAAACAACAAAAGTTAGTAGACTTTCTGATACAGTTGTGGTTTCGTACTTTCTAGTAGACATCATTTTACATCCAGGAGACCTCTCTTACATTTAATTAAGAATAGTGTAACAGCTTAACAACACAATGCATTACAATACCATTAAACCACTTAAATAGTAACATTGAAGAAGACATTTTGTCGCATAACTAAATACATTCTGATGCCAGTTTGTGAAACAGTCGACGGATCAAGGTCCAAGACAGGTAATAAAATGTCCATAGTCATAAAAACTGAAGAACTCACTCAAGTCCTTATGAGTAGAACAACAGAGTCTATTTAATTGGAACAAGGCATCTCAAGTGATAAAAATCCCCTCACTCCCATTCATAGTAATGTTGACCTTAACGTTGACCCTGGCACACTGAATTACGAACTTGTTTAAGGTATAATGGTGCTTCAACAAATTTGTGAAATTTTATAAAAATTGTTTTAAGAAATGAAGTTTTTAGTGTGATGACAAAAAGTGAACATATGTACATAGGTATAAGGGGAATGCAATAATGTTATTATCATCACCTCACAGTGACTGCAGAGGTGATTATTATAGCCCTTCTAACCAGCAACTGGTCTTCCAGTATAGAGATGTGTTCTACTTGATACACATTAAAGAAGTTGTATGTGGAGAATGTGACGGTTCCTTTAAGTCGAGAGCTGACTTTGGCAGCCTAGAGGTAAAGATCTGAAGTATGTACTCCAATGCTTATCACATATGAAGTCTGTGTCTTAAAGTCGAGACATACAGCCAGTCTGTGTCGTCTTGGTTGTGTCCTTGCAATGGTAAGACGCTTTACCCTAATTGCTTGTGATATAAGTGATGGACCCTTCCTATGTGAGCCAGTCATGAGCTACTTCTAAGAGACCTGGCCTCAAAATTACCCAGGCTGTTTTCTCCTGGAATTTGTATCTTTTCCCTGCCAACAATTCTGGATTCAAAACAAATTGAGACAAAAATCACGGTATGTGTAAATGTTTGGGGGAATCATTATCCCTGTTGAAGGATACAGATTCTATCTCAATAGGTACCTAGTCATAATCCAGAATTATCGCTTCATTCAGTAAAACCTTCAGAATACCAAACAAGGAAATAGGGGTCGAAAGGTCGTAATGAAATTCCACAGAAATTAGAGGAGTAGGAAATGAGGTTCCGTGTAGCATTACGACCATATTAACGACAACATGTCCACTACAAAGACTGGCCACAGGATCAATATGGCCACGATTGGTGAAGAAAAGCAAAGCGTTGATTGCAATGTTCTATCTTTTGTACAACAGTCAGAAACGTTTGTTAAAATGTCAGACTGTTTACTGAGACGTGCGAGGGTATAAATGTATTAGTGAGGATCAGTAAACAGCATTCAGGATCTGTCATTCCCATTATGCTTCATTCTCACCGTCTCAAATATTGTGTACATATCATTAAACATGTCCATTACATCTTTCTAAAAATTCAATATGAAGACTGGAAATGTTTCACCTTCCAGAAAGAAACCAATGTAACAGTTAGGTATACAAAGTGTTACATTTTAATGCACCAGAGTATCAGTCTTTTTGTACTTTATAAATTCCCCTCTTTTATTTTCAGTGTCACATTATGTATATAATCAATTGAATATATAGTGTTTTATTTTCCAAAAGTCCCACATTAATTTCTTTAAGAAATTGGTATTACCAATGGCTAATGGTACTACTACTGCATTGTTACATTATGTTCACAATAATAAAAGTGCATTAACAGTATTAAATAAATCTTAAGTCCTGCTAATATAGAATACCTAGGGCAACTATATTGTTTTCTATACCAGTTATGAACTCTTAAAACCCTTAAACTATTATTGGAACAGGATTGCCTGTCCAATACAGAACAATGGCGGATATAACTTTGCCGCCAAATGACGAAATTCGTGTTTGTCCAAAAAAAAAATCTCTTAGATGATACTTATGATTGATATTTTACAGACATGTATTTTTATTGTAAGGTTGATAATTAACGTTTACAACAGTCAAACTTTGCCCCAGATTTACCTTCTAAATATCAATATTGCATTCTAATTAAATCCTAAATAGATTAATGAGATCAAAACTAAGCTTTCCATTAATGACTTGTTTACTTATGACTTTTAACGGAATTTAAAACTTGTACCTGGTCAAGTTGAATATTGCTACTGAAGCTACACACAGATAGATTCAACAGAACTCTGAAGCTGGATTACATATAAACACACTTATAATGGTTTTGTTTATGAAATCACTTCACATTTATAGATCTGTTGATGACTCTTCTCTAGTAAACTACATCCACACAGACTAAAAATAAGACAATTTAAACAAGGATTTTTTGGACAGAAAATAAAAAGGCAAAGATGACAAAAATAGATATGATATGATATTCAGATGACTAGATAACATTATCACACATCAACATATGTAACCTTTTTAAAACTAAGAAAACAATGAAAAAAACTAATAGTGCCCGTCTAGACACAGAGAGAATGTTTCTTATACCTACTGGTCTATAAGTATTGTGAAGATCACAAAACAGCATGTCACCAATATATCTCAATTTAGGATAAGGACATATATATTTTCTAAACATCATTTTCTGAGTAGGAGTTGGGGGATGGGGTCTGGGTGGTGCGATTGGGGGAAAGGGTCTGGGCGATGGGGTTGGGGAAAGGGTCTGAGTGGTAGGAGGGAGGGGTCTGGGTGGTAGGGTTGGGGAAAGGATCTGGGTGGTGGGGTTGGGGGAAAGGGTCTGGATGATGGGGTTGGGGGAAAGGGTCTGGGCGATGGGGTTGGGGAAAGGGTCTGAGTGGTAGGAGGGAGGGGTCTGGGTGGTAGGGTTGGGGGAAAGGGTCTGGGTGGTGAGGATGGGGGAATGGGTCTGGGTAGTGGGATTGGGGGAAAGGGTCTGGGTGGTGGGATTGGGGGAAAGGGTCTGGGTGGAGGGGATGGGGAAAGGGTCTGTGTGGAGGGGATGGGGGAAAGGGTCTGGGTGGTGGGGTTGGAGGAAAGGGTCTGGGTGGTGGGGTTGGAGGAAAGGGTCTGGGTGGTGGGGTTGGGGGAAAGGGTCTGTGTGGAGGGGATGGGAGAAAGGGTCTGGGTAGTGGGGTTGGAGGAAAGTGTCTGGGCTGTGGGGTTGGGGGAAATGGTCTGGACGGTCGGGGGTAAGGGGTCTTGGTGGTGGGGAAAGAGGTCTGGGCAGTGGGAAGAAAGGGGTCTTGACAGTGGGGGAAGGAGTCTGGGCTGTGGGGGGTAAGGGGTCTTGGCAGTGGGGGAAGGAGTCTGGGCAGTGGGGAAAGGAGTCTGGGCGGTGGGGGAGGGGGAATCAGCCACTGCCTGAAGAATATATGTATACTACATTTGGTGTTCGCAGACATCATGATGTAAACTATTGAGATAATATAATCATGGTTCGGGTGTAAATCAATTTTTACCTTAAATAAAAAAAAACATGATGTAATTATCTTCAATAGATTCATCAAAAATCTGACATGTCATTATAATCTTTTCTATTGATTGCAAAACTGTCTACATTCATGACTATCAAGCTAAAAAGAATATTTGCTCTACCAAAAAATTAAAAGAGAAAAAATGTGAAGCCCTTGAGTTGTTAATTGAAATGATTATGGTGCTCTGTAATGTTCTGTAAATAACTTTTAAATCTCATATGAATTAATTTCCTTAACTTAAAAGATATCACAAATAGTGACATCACTATACAGCTTACAAATGAGTGTTTCCCACAGTCCCTCCTATTAACTCTGGGGTATATGATACAAGATTTGGCTTATAGATTCTCATTAGCCAATTTGAATATCTTTTTTAATTGATTTTTATTTTTCTCAGTCATTTTCTTCAAAATAATTAGCTTGCTGTAGATTTAAATTGCCTTACAAAAAAATGTTCTCGCAACACACAGCTGCTCTCTGTCAGTTAAATGTTTGCTCCATCCAGATCTGTGGGGTTGATTTTTATTGGTCAACTTGGTGATCACATGATATGATTTAAATTCAGCAAAACTAGTTAGCAGAAAGGCAATGATCCACTTCCACCGGGACTCAAAAATAATGACATATTTTCATGTAAAATGGTGGAATTTCTAAACATGTTTCTTAACAAATCTGATCCAAATTTTCATGATATAGTAAATCAAACTTTGTGGGGTCAACATTCGACTATGTATAAATACGAGTTTGTATATATTTACTTAAAAAATTTTCAGAGAGTCTTCTTTGGTAGCATAATTTCCCTTGTTTAGATGAATGAGCTTTAAAAGGGTGAGAACACCTGATAAAGTTGCCTTTAAAGGAGTGAGAACACCTGATAAAGTTGCCTTTAAAGGAGTGAGAACACCTGAAAAAGTTGCCTTTAAAGGAGTGAGAACACCTGATAAAGTTGCCTTTAAAGGAGTGAGAACACCTGATAAAGTTGCCTTTAACGCAGTGAGAACACCTGATAAAGTTGCCTTTAAAGGAGTGAGAACACCTGATAAAGTTGCCTTTAAAGGAGTGAGAACACCTGAAAAAGTTGCCTTTAAAGGAGTGAGAACACCTGATAAAGTTGCCTTTAAAGGAGTGAGAACACCTGATAACGTTGCCTTTAAAGGAGTGAGAA